TCTTACAGAATTACTAACTTGAACTATATTTAGGTAACAGATCAAAAAACAGAAGCAGGGATTCGAACAGAAAACTATTATCAAGAAGCTGTATAAATTGTATGACATTTCAAGAGCAATTTTTACCTCTATCAGACCAACTCTGAAGCTATAGTCTGGGGGACCTCCTAGCAAACAAAGTAAACACCATCCTGGTATAATTCTCCAAGTTTGAAGAGAGTATCCAAACCTCAAACCCACTCAATAACGGTCTTTTGCCAGCCTAAAACTTAATGCCTAATGTTAAATCCATAATATTACATTCCTTCCTTCCCAAACCCCCCACTTAAAAACATTAGTATTAAATCTAATTTTCAAGTCATATATATATATATATATATATATATATATATATGAGACTCACAAAACCACTGAAATCAGTACCAGATTTGCCTGCATAAATTATGTACACCTTTCTTCTTTATAACAGTGATGCCCATCTTTCCCAAATGTACGAAAACAGAAAACTAGTCCTCAGCAGGCTTAGTAATGGTCTGTACTGATTTCCTCTCTAACAGTTGTAAATTAACAAAGCCCTCCTTGCCTCCCTACCTGAGATTTTAAACTCTCACAGAAGCTAGGAAGGGGATGTCTTAACTATCAGACACAAAACTAAGCCAAAAAGTGAGTGCCTGTGGTCATCCAAGTGATGTCCTTCAATGGCAGGTAGGCATGCCAGATCTCATCTATGGCCCTTTGTGTACCTGCCTTGGGTTCTGTAGGAGCCAAGTAGCTGAGCAAACCTCAAAACAAACTGCTGCTGTGGAAAGAGGGCCTGTTCCCAGGCATGGTCCCTCCACTCTTGTGGCTCAAGGACCAGACAAAAAACTCTTAACTGCTATTTATAATGGAAGGGCCACTGAGTTGCTACAAGGTTGATGCTTTATGCTTAATTTCTATTGCTGTTTTTATAGACCCCGCCCCCCCACTCCCCTGACAAGATGTGTCTGGTGATGGGAAGAAGAAAAGTAAGGTTCTCTTTTTGCTGCCATATGCATATGAACATGTATAAAAAGTGGTCAAACCCAGATGAGGGTCCTGCTTCTGGTTTATATACAATAATTTAGTCAGTTGTATATATTTAACATCTAAAAAAATTCACAAAGTCCTTCATGCATTTTATGAGGAAGTTCTGGATTAAAATCAAGGTCAACCAGATGTTGCTTTTGCCTGGGAAGATGGTGTCATTTTCTGTTGCAGTCATCAGTGCCCGTGGTTGATACTTTCTTAAATTTTTAGTTTCTTTGTGGTCTCAAGTCTTTTTTTCAGCAGCTCCCCCATTTCCAGAAGTGAATGCAGATAACTGCTCTGTACCTTCCCTTGCACAGTCTTTGAAAATTTTCTCTCTTCCTGTAAAGGAGGAGACAAGAATAATTAGTCTTGCCTAAAAACCATCCCCCCAGATTCTAGTGCTCAGATAAAAGTTAAAGCTACCATTACCTTTGGTCTCAATATAAGCTCCATTAGAACACAGGGGGTCATTTTCAATTGCATAAAATGCAAAGAAGGCTAAAGCTCATCACAAATGGGTATTTTTCCACGGGATTCTTCATGGAAACCTTATTGTTTTAGTGTCATTACTCTTTCAAGCATCCTTTGTTGTAAGTTATATAAGGTAGAAAAACTGGGCCAGGCACAATGGCTCACACCTGTAATCAAACCACTTTAGGAGGCTGAGGCAGGTGGATCACTTGAGCCCAGGAGTTCAAGACCAGCCTGGCCAACATGGTGAAAGTTCATCTGTACTAAAAATAACAAAAATTAGCTGGGCATAGTGGCACACACTTGTAATCCCAGCTACTTGGGAGCAGAGGCCAGAGAATTGCTTGAACTTGAGAGGTGGAAGTTGTAGTGAACTGAGATTATGCCACTACACACTAGCCTGGGTGACAGAGTGAGCCTGTCTCAAAAAAGAGAAAAACTGAGATTTCTGATTACTACTTTTTAATCAATAAAAATAGAAAATTGCCGGGCGCGGTGGCTCAAGCCTGTAATCCCAGCACTTTGGGAGGCCGAGGCGGGTGGATCACGAGGTCGAGAGATCGAGACCATCCTGGTCAACATGGTGAAACCCCGTCTCTACTAAAAGTGCAAAAAATTAGCTGGGCATGGCGGCGCGTGCCTGTAATCCCAGCTACTCCGGAGGCTGAGGCAGGAGAATTGCTTGAACCCAGGAGGCGGAGGTTGCGGTGAGCCGAGATCGCGCCATTGCACTCCAGCCTGGGTAACAAGGGCGAAACTCCGTCTCAAAAAAAAAAATAAATAAATAAATAAAAAATAAAAAATAAAAAAAATAAAAATAGAAAATTATGGGCCAGGTGCAGTGGCTCACACCTGTAATCCCAGCACTTTGCGAGGCCAAGGCAGGTGGATCACCTGAGGTCAGGAGTTCGGGACCAGCCTGACCAACATGGAGAAACCCCGTCTCTACTAAAAATACAAAATTAGCATGTAATCCCAGCTACTCAAGAGGCTGAGGCAGGAGAATTGCTTGAAGCCGGGAGGCGGAGGTTGCGGTGAGCTGAGATACCACCATTGCACTCCAGCCTGGGGAACAAGAGCTAAACTCTGTCTCAAAAGAAAAGTTATCAATAGTTTGGACATAAAATACCTACTATTTTGTTATAAGCTGTACAAAGTGGAAATTTTGAGATTTCTGATTGTTTTCATCTGAAAAAAGTAGAAATTTATTACTAATTTGTACATCATCATAGCTACTTTTAATAACAGCCTCAACTTTACTAACTCCATCATTTCCAGTTACAGCATTAACAAGCCTGGCTCCATACTGACAAAGCCCCTGAGTTCAAAAGACCAAATATATATTCTTCAATATGAGTTATTATTTGCCGGCAAATGTTTGCTTTAGTAGAGCTCACAGAAAATAAAGGGGAATGAGTAAGTTCTCACAGAGAAAAGACTGGCTGAAGACTGATTAGGTTTACATGAAGTTGAGTGCTGCAGAGCCCAGAACTGTGTAGAAGAAACAGGGAATATACTTTCTCACCCAACAATACTAGTACTTCAGATCTAATTTACCTTAGAAATATAAATGTGCGGCCGGGCGCGGTGGCTCAAGCCTGTAATCCCAGCACTTTGGGAGGCTGAGGCGGGTGGATCATGAGGTCGAGAGATCGAGACCATCCTGGTCAACATGGTGAAACCCCGTCTCTACTAAAAATACAAAAAAAACTAGCTGGGCGTGGTGGCGCGTGCCTGTAATCCCAGCTACTTAGGAGGCTGAGGCAGGAGAACTGCCTGAGCCCAGGAGGCGGAGGTTGTGGTGAGCCCAGACCGCGCCATTGCACTCCAGCCTGGGTAACAAGAGCGAAACTCCATCTCAAAAAAAAAAAAAGATATATAAATGTGCATAGAAACGTGCACAAATACACTTCATTCAGTACCATATGTAAAAGCAAATATAAAGAAACAACCTAAAATGTCCAATGCTAAAATGTCTAATGGCAGTGGTGCATTTATATTCTGAATACTCTGCAGCTGTTTATTGAACAAGATTGATCCATAGGCATTAGCTTGAACAGATCTCTTGAAAATAAAATTGAATTTAAAATACTTTTTTTTTTTTTTAAGTAGAGGCAGGGTCTCACTAAGCTGCCCAGGCTCATCTTGAACTCCTGAGCTCAAATAATCCCCCAGCCTTGGCCTCCCAAAGTGCTGGGATTATAGGCGTGAGCCACTACACCTGGCCAAATTTACCTTTTTTGAAGTACAAAATAATACAATACTGAATATATTCTCTATGAATATAAATATACACAAAAAGGTCCTAACACACAACCAGTTTCACTAGGATACCCCATAGGAAGTAAGAAAGGAAATCAAGACTAGAGGTCATAGTCTAGAGGCCTTATTCACAATGTTTCAAGTTTAGAAAGAAAAGGAGGAAAGAAAGCAGAGGAGCCTAATGAATTGAATAGATTTTTACCTTTAAAAGACAAGTAGCCCGCACCTTATGCATCGGGTATTTGGTGGCTGGTACTGCTCAGTAACTTATATGAAACATGACTTTAACAAAAGTAGGCAATATAAGGCCCATTACTGCTTTGTTTAATCCTTTCTATAATCCTATGAAATAGGCATTATTATCATTCCCATTTACAGATAAACAGACTGAAGCTTAAGTGAGGTTAAGTAACTTTCCCAAGGTCAAAAGAGAAGAACAGAAGCTAGGGCTTGAAAAATCTAGAGAGTATGGCCAAGTTAAGGATAACCTCTAGAACTCTGAAAACAAGAACTCTTGTTCATCATTTCAGGATGCAGACAAATCTTTTAACATAAACAACTACTAGATAGCCACAGCAGGGCTACTGTGCCTATCACCGTCATAATCTAACAGTCCTTCACGTACACCATAAGCTCTAGCCCTACCATCTGTGTTGAACTACCCCACACAATTGACTTTCTTGCCCCGTGCTTTTATCTGTACCTCCTTCTGCTTGGGATCCTTTTCCTACATTTCTTCCTACCTCAGGAAACCCAATTAATCTTCCTCAAATGTCCCCACTCTTGATTAAAGAAAGCAGACATGTTCATATTGAACAAAGTGACTTTTTCACTCACTCCATTCAGTATGAACACACCTGCTTTTTAAAATCAATCTTTGGTCATGTGAACTGCTCTGAGTCCTTTCCCACAGTAAGCACCTTGTTCAAAGCCTAAAGTTTTTATGCTTTACAAAAGAGGGGCTTACAATCTTTTAAGTCTGGTGTGCTACGGAAAATTCTATTCATTCTCTTCCCTATGAAGCTCTGAAGCTATGATGATGGCTGCCCTCAGATTACTGGATAAATTCCATCGTCAGCAGTTTAGCTCAGACAAACTCCTGCAGAGAAGCTTTTCTTAAGATCAGTTTCATCACTGGAGCAACAGGCTAGAAACAGATGACTCCACCACTATGCTTTTGGTCCCTACCAAAAATCCTAAACCTACTGCAGGCCAGTGAATTAACACTTACAAAAAATAATTCTTAAGGGTAAAGGCTGTATAAGGATTTTGCTAACTACTAGAATTTGAAAAAACCTAAAATAGTATCAGAAGACATTTGATGATGCTAACTTTTGATTCCATACTTGGTTTCACTTCTTTTTGGGCTGGCTTGCTCCAGCCTAATTATTACTGACATAATTACTTCTGATGTCCAGCATTTCTCCTTTCTCAGGTAATAACTGCTGGGGTGGCAAGGAAGACAGCCAACTCAGCAGCAGGTAAATTCTATTCAAGAACACTGTCCCTGGATCTCAAAATATGGCTGACTCTGTGATGCTCAAAATGCTGGTATTAGTTTTATAGTAAAAGAACAACCCCAAAAATGTATAGAAAGGAGGAGGTATGGGAAGAAATGAAGAGGGGGGAAAATCTTACCACAACAAGAAACTACTGCAAAGCACCTTCTAGTCACAAGTCTTATGAAGAGAAAACGATAAATTGAAGTTTAACTTGTCCTTGTGATAAAGATGTGAGAGAGAGAGAGAGAGAATGTGTGTGTGTGTACGCATGCACGTGTGTGTAGAAAACATTGCTGATTGTCTATAATCTCTTACCAATGATAGAGAAGTGTCTTCTAAAATAAGTTCTTCAAGTTTAAGTGCAATTAGATGTGTTTCAAGCCCTTTAATATGATCCACAACATTGGAAATTAAAGTCTGAAGTCCAGTAACATAGTCTTGGAAACTGGTAAAGACAGGTGGCTGGGAAAAAGATTAAAAAAGAATTGAAACATTATCAAACATATTACCCATATCTACATCACGTAAGCTACTGAAATATATGAGAGAATTTGAATAGTGGCATTTCAAACCAGTGGTTTCAAGTGAATGAATGGTACTAAAATGACCAGCTAGACATTTGGAGATACAAAGTAAATAACACAGTAATATTAAAATGTCAGACAGATTAAATACTTAAATAAAAAAATCCATCAACACAGTGGAAAAAAATTAGGTAACAACTTCTGTAATCCTGACACTGACAGTTGAAAAAGCCCTTCTAAACGTCACACTAAGCTAAAAACCATAAAGAGATCATCCTTGTTTTTAAAAATATTACTACATTAGGCCGGGCACGGTGGCTCACGCCTGTAATCCCAGAACTTTGGGAGGCCGAGGCGGGTGGATCACCAGGTCAAGAGATCGAGACCATCCTGGTCAACATGGTGAAACCCCTTCTCTACTAAAAATATAAAAAATTAGCTGGGCATGATGGCTCATGCCTGTAATCCCAGCTACTCAGGAGGCTGAGGCAGGAGAATTGCCTGAACCCAGGAGGCGGAGGTTGCGGTGAGCCAAGACCACACCATTGCACTCCAGCCTGGGTAACAAGAGTGAAACTCCGTCTCAAAAAAAAAAAAAAGAAAATTACTACATTGACCAAAAAAAAAAAAAAAAAATCACTCAAGTTAAAAGACAAATGACAAACTGAAAAAAACTGCATCATGTGTGTCAGGAGATTAGTAACACTATTATGTTAAGAACGCAACAGTTCAACACATATTAATAAGAAAAGTATTACTACCACAATAAGAAACTTGGACAAAGACAAGAATAGAAAACATATCAAAGAAATCCAGGAAACACATGATACAACTAAAACACCTGGCCAATCAACTAATAAAGCTAGCTTTTCACTCAAGTAGTATTCTTGGACAGTTCAGTATCAATAAAATTTTAAAAATCAATATTAGAAAAAGGGGATAATTTTCACCTGCCAGATGGTTAAGGATACAGACATACTCAACACTGTTGAGGGGAGTACAAATGTACATATGTGTATACATTTACTAACTGTATAAATGTATATATATACAGTTAATTTCAGATCTAAGAGCTATCCTAAAGAAACCATATGATAGGCCAGATGCGGTGGCTCAGGCCTGTAATCCCAGCACTTTGGGAGGCTGAGACGGGTGGATCACGAGGTCAGGAGTTCAAGACCAGCCTGGCCAAGATGGTGAAACCCCTTCTCTACTAAAAATACAAAAATTAGCTGAGCATGGTGGCATATTCCTATAATCTCACCTATAGGAACATGCCTATAATCAGGAGGCTGTGGCAGAGAACTGTTTAAACCCAGGAGGCAGAGGTTGCAGTGAGCCAAGATGGCACCACTGCACTACAGCATGGGCAACACAGCAAGACTCCATCTCAAAAAAAAAAAAAAAAAAAAAAAAACTATATTATAGGCTGGGCGTGGTGGCTCACATCTGTAATCCCAGCACTCTGGGAGGCTAAGGCAGGTGGATTGCTTGAGGTCAGGAGTTCAAGACCAGCCTAGCCAACATGATGAAACCCTGTCTCTACTAAAAACACAAAAATTAGCTGGGCATGGTGGCACATGCCTGTAATCACAATTACTCAGAAGGCTTAGGGAGGAGAATAGCTTGAACCCAGGAGATGGAGGCTGTAGTGAGCCAAGATCACGCCACTGCACTCCAGCCTAGGTGAAAATGAGATTCCGTCTCAAACAAAAAACAACAAAAAAAAATTCTATTATCAATGTATCATTGTATCTGTCTATATCTCAATAGCAACATATTTATAATATACAAAAAGAACCAACAATTCAACAGAAATAAATTATAGCATATTAATATAATAGTACCATGTTACCATTAAAAGTAATTAGATATATCTATATTTACTGACATGAAAAGATGTCCAAGATACCCTGTTATATGAAAACAAAAAAGCAAGTTATAGAACCTTCTGTATAGCAGGTTTGTTTACCATGAAAATCATCACAGTAGTTATTACTGAAATTATATAAAAATTTACACAGTAGGTATATGGATGATCTTCACTTTATTCACACCTTTATGGGTTACTCTGATACTCAGAAAAACCATTCTCATTTTTAGAAACCAGAAAAACAACAAAAAACACCACAAAAGGCAATTCGGAAAAAGCTATTTGACATGTTCTAGAGTCCTAAGCTTTCATCAGAAGGAAAGCAACAAAGCCAGTCTGACCTATACTTTTAAACTTTTTCTTTTTCTTTTTCCTTTTTGTTGAGAACGAGATCTTGCTATGTTGCCCAGTCTGGTTTTGAACTCCTGGGCTCAAGCCATCATCTCTCCCTTTGCCTCCTCTTTAAGTGCTGGGATTACAAGCATGAGCCACCAGTGTCCAGCTTCAAACTTTGTACTCTTGATCAGTTAAATTATCTTTGTTTCTGATCTTGTTGTTTGTTAAATTCTCTTGACTAGAGCGAAGGAAAAGAAGCAACCTCATTCATATCTAAGAACCCTTTGTTTTTGAATGAATAGTAACACTCAGCAGAGCATCCAATTTAAAGAACTCCTGGATTTTACTGAATTGTTCAGAAAGTCAATTTACAACTGAAACATCAACTTTCTTCTTTTTTTTTTTTTTTTTTGACAGGGTTTTGCTTTGTTGTCCAGCCTTGAGTGCAGTGGTGCGATCACAGCTCATGGCAGCCTCGATTTCCCAGGCTCTAGTGATCTTCCTGCCTCAGCCTCCTAAGTAGCTGAGACTGACTACAGGCATGTGCCACCATGACCAGCTAATTTTTAAAAATTTTTTTGTTTAGACAGAATCTCATTATGCTGCCTAGGCTGGCGTCAAACTCCTGGGCTCAAGCAATCTCCCCGCCTTGGCCTCCCAAAGTGCTGGGATTATGGGCATGGTCCACAGCACCAGCCAACATTTTCAATTGATAATGATTATTATAATGCTATATAGTAAACAAAAATCCCCCACTGATAACAGCATAAATTCAAACGTTAATGAAAGAGCACATCATGAGCTGTAATAGGCACTAAATTATTTTCCTGTGAAACGGAAAAAAAATGTTACTGTTTTTCACATTCAAAAATTAAATCCATAAAGATGGGGGGAACCCTAAAACTGAATACAAATGGAAAAAACTTTATATCATATTAATAAAAGTAATCTCAGTTTTTAATTCCAGTGATTTCACAGAGTATCTTAACTGTCGATAGTCACTGGAACATATTCTAAGGACAAAAGTATCTGCAAAACATTTAAACTTTAATGAGTTTGTTATTAGAACTAGTAGTGGAACTGATGTATGATTTCCCAAAACTATTTAGTATTTATTGTGAACCAACAAATGAATAAATATGTTGAAGTGTTTGGATCAGGGTTCTCACTCTGAGAAAAGGAAGCTACAAAAAGGGAATGAGGGAAAGAGTGGAAAGAACACTGATGCTGGCTTGAAACTGAAGGTATCACTAAAAATTCTTTACGTAGGCCAGGCGTGGTGGCTCACACCTGTAATCCCAGGATTTTGGGAGGCTGAGGTGGACGGATCACCTGAGTTCAGGAGTTTGAGATCAGCCTGGCCAACATGGTGAAACCCCAGCTCTACTAAAAATACAAAAAGTAGCCAGGCATGGTGGCGGGCACCTGTAATCCCAGCTACTCAAGAGGCTGAGGGAGGAGAATCACTTGAACCCAGGAGATGGAAGTTGAAGTGAGCCAAGATTGAGCCACAGCATGCACTGGATCCAGCCTGGGCAACAGAGTGAGACCCCATCTCAAAAAACAACAACAAAAAAAATGCCACTAACAATAGCTGATGAGCTTTAAAAAAATCTGATTTATTAAGAAAGTTTACAGATTTTACTGATTTGCTTGGGCCTCATTCAAAGCCATCCTGGGCTGCAGGTTCGATAAGCTTCTCATATAGGATCCTAAGGACTCAACATGGAGGAAAACAGTGAAAAGAAAAAGTAGCATGTGGTCAGACTGTTACTTGTATATCACTTGAGTTACTGTTATTACCATGATGATGCTAGTTTCTTTTTTCTTCTTTTTCTTTTTCTGTAAATTTAGTTTGTATGGTCGCAGGACACTCTCACAGTAGCTGGAGACCCAAAGGATAATAGAGATAGTCTGAAACGAAAAATTGCAAATTCACCAATAAGGATTACACTAAAGATATCTATCAGGCAATTAGAGACAATGGATTCAACAAATTCTAACGCAGTTATTCTATGCAAATCCTTTCAATTTCTCAGGTGAATCTTCGCTGTACTTTCAACAATCACTCTACTGATCCAGGCCTTAATCAGCTCCTGCTCAGAATACTACAATGGCCTAACTCTTCATCCTTCCTACTGGCTCTCCCAGCTCTAAATCCAACCTCCACTTCACTCCAATTTTCTGTCACTTCCCTGAAGAAGTGGGGATTGATTAACATCCTTGTCACTCAGGGAAGAGTCCAAATTCCTAGGCATGGAATCCAAAGGTTCTTTACATTATGCCTCTCCCATCTCTCCAGGCAGGTTAAGATACCACCTCACCTGCAAACCTTAACTTAACGTATGTATGGAGAAATCTACCCAGTTGATCAGCACATATCCTGCATTGTATTAAATTAGCTATTTGTATGTCTTCTCCTATACTACAATGTGTGCATGTAAATATATGTACACTTATTTGTTTAATAAAAATCTCTAAGGCATTAAACGTACTCATTCATTTAATAAAAATCTCTAAGGCATTAACAATTTGCAAATCACCAGAACAGTATACACTCCCCATACAGAGTAGTAAGGGGAGAAAAGTCAACAAATATGTGACAGAAATAAAAGATAATAGATTATGAGTGTTTGCAATCCTCCTCTCTGACAATAAAAGGTGGGGGGGGGGGGGTTCCTGTATCAGTCTCTGGACACTGTCATAATACGTAATATCTCAGAAATTAATAAATGACAACAAATAAAAGAAGCTGGAGGAATTAAACTACATAATAAAGTGAGTCAGAAAGGAGAATGAAAACAGCTACATCTGGGGTGAACCTGGGGAAGCTTAGAACTGAGTAAAGCAAATTTCAAGTTTTACCTAAGTATTATGAATGAAATCCTCTTAGGATTCTTGGAAGGAAATGGTTTAGAAAATGATTTAAATTAACATTTTATATGCCTCTCTCTTCACATCTCTCCAGCTTTTCAATAAACAAAAACAAAGATAGGAGGTTAAGTTGCAGGTATAAGGTGACTATTACCTGTTCACTGTTGAAAAATGAATCCTGTAGAACATTAAAAACAACGTCTTTTCGGAAGAGAGCAAAAACCTACCTCAACAAAGAAGACTAGATTTTCTAAAAGAGTAGGATGTGTTTTCAAGTTACCATCTTTAACTTCTAAGAGGTCACCTTTACATTTACTGAAGACATCTGAAAACAAAAATATATTAGTTTTATTCAGCTTTTGTTTCAATGCTATTTTAAGGTACACAAAACAAAATCAAATAAAGAATAAACAAATAAAAACTTCACCTAGAAAGCTATTTTTTTTTCCATTTTCCATAATGAACCAAACTCTAAAGGATAGACTATACATTCTAAGTTCTTTAAAAAGCCAGCTGGGCATGGCAGCTCACACCTGTAATCCCAGGACTTTGGGAGGGTGAGACAGGTAGATCACGAGGTCAGAAGTTCAAGACCAGCCTGGCCAAGATGGTGAAACCCTGTCTCTACTAAAAATACAAAACTTAGCAGGGCACAGTGGCTGGCACCTATAATCCTAGTTACTTGAGAGGCTGAGGCAGGAGAATTGCTTGAACCTGGGCAGCAGAGGTTGCAGTGAGCCAAGATCGCATCACTATACTCCAGCCTGGGTGATAGAGTGAGACTCCATCTCAAAAAATAAAATAAAATAAACATAAATAAACAAAAAGCCATGGTGACTATTGCTCTATGTCTTCAAAAGATAAAAGGTATCCTTATAAATTATATATTCTAGGGTCTCTAACACCAGCAAAGCCTTTTCAGACAGGCCAAGGGCACAATAAGACAAGGCTCTAAGGCCGGGCGCGGTGGCTCAGCCTGTAATCCCAGCACTTTGGGAGGCCAAGGGGGGTGGATCACGAGGTCGAGAGATCGAGACCATCCTGGTCAACATGGTGAAACCCCGTCTCTACTAAAAATACAAAAAAACTAGCTGGGCGTGGTGGTGCATGCCTGTAATCCCAGCTACTCAGGAGGCTGAGACAGGAGAATTGCCTGAGCCCAGGAGGCGGAGGTTGCGGTGAGCCGAGATTGCGCCATTGCACTCCAGCCTGGGTAACAAGAGCGAAACTCCGTCTCAAAAAAAAAAAAAAAAAAAAAAAAAAAAAAAAAAAAAATTAACTGGGCATGGTGGCGTGTGCCTGTAATCCCAGCTACTCAGGAGGCTGAGGCAGGAGAATCGCCTGAACCCAGGAGGTGGAGGTTGCGGTGAGCCGAGATCGCGCCATTGCACTCCAGCCTGGGTAACAAGAGCGAAACTCCGTCTCAAAAAAAAAAAAAAAAAAAAAAAAAAAAAGACAAGGCTCTAAAGTGAATGATTCAGAAGGACTTTTACCATTATGGACTGAAAGACAAAAAATGTACATTGCACAAATCCATCTTCGTAACAGATAATACATTTTATTCTCATAATCTTAATCATTAAATTTTCAGTCTTCATCTGGGCAATAAATATAAGACTGAGCCACGCTCAGTGGCAAATGCCTGTAGTCCCAGCTACTCAGGAGGGTGAGGCAGAACGACTGCTTGAGCCAAGGAGTTAAGAGTTCACCCTGGGCAACATAATAAGACCTCATTTCTTAAAAAAAACAATCATTTAGGATCTTAAAAAGACTCTTACAGATATAAGATACTTACATGTAAGTCAGGCACAGTGGCTTACGCCTGTAATCCCAGCACTTTGGGAGGCCGAGGTGGGCAAGTCACAAGGTCAAGATATTAAGACCATCCTGGCCGACATGGTGAAACCCTGTCTCTACTAAAACTACAAAAATCAGCTGGGTGTGGTGGTGCAAGCCTGCAGTCCCAGCTACTTGGGAAGCCGAGGCAAGAGAATTGCTTGAACCTGGGAGGTGGAGGTTGCAGTGAGCCAAGATCGGGCCACTGCCACTGCACTCCAGCCTGGATGACAGAGTGAGACTCCGTCTCAAAAAAAAAGAAGCCGGGCGCGGTGGCTCAAGCCTGTAATCCCAGCACTTTGGGAGGCTGAGGCGGGCGGATCACGAGATCAGGAGATCGAGACCATCCTGGTCAACACGGTGAAACCCCGTCTCTACTAAAAATACAAAAAATTAGCTGGGCATGGTGGCGCGTGCCTGTAATCCCAGCTACTTGGGAGGCTGAGGCAGGAGAATTGCCTGAACCCAGGAGGCAGAGGTTGTGGTAAGCCAAGATCACGCCATTGCACTCCAGCCTGGGTAACAAGTGCGAAACTCCGTCTCAAAAAAAAAAAAAAAATATATACGTGACCTTTAACAATTCTATTCCTAGGAATTTAATCCCAAAGAAGTACTCAAATAATACCCTAACAATTTGTCCCAAGATACTCATTTTAGCACTGTTAGAAGAAATAACTCATATACGTAATATGTCACCAACTGGGGAGAACATAAACTCGGGATATTAATATAATACTATAGAATATGATGCAGTCTTGAATAAATGGGATATACATAACTGACATGGAAAGGTATCCTAATAACAAAAAAAATTAAAGTCAGAAAAGCATGTATTACACCATTTTCTATGTTTAAAAATTACTTTTTATCTATATTTTCATACACACACATATACATGTTTACGTGGCATCTAGGAGTATTTACTCCAAAGTGTTAACACTACTTACTTATCTCTGGATGACTGGGCTTGGGAAAGGGGGAAAAGAACTTCCGAGCTACTACCATACAACCAGAAACAAATACAGAAATCTACAATAGGAAAACGTACCTTTTAACTGGTCTAGTAAAGACTTAAGACTATTTTCTATTCGTTCCTGGATCTCCATTGTATCCTCTAAAATTGAAAAATAAAAAATGAAAAACTTTCAATTCCATTTTTAGTAAGATAAAGAAGCAAGATAAATACCTGCAAGAAATTCATTGGCAGGGACACTTTCTTTTCTCTAACAACACCTATGCACCTAAATTTCATTATTTTGAGACAAAAAGAAAAAGATGATGAAAGGAAAATGAAAAAGAAAAGGAAAGGCATTAATTAACTTTCTGCCAAAGGTATTACCTAAAATCCTTTAAGAGGGCTTGAAATCTATGTGCTTCCAACACTCAAACTGTTAAGATCTACTAACATTACTTTTTTTTTTTTTTTTTTTTTTTTTAAAGGAAAAGGTCTGTGGAGTATGTGTACTTTTCACTGGGTTGAGAGCTTACAAAAAAATCTCTTCTCTACAAAGTTTAGTACCTTTTTTTTTGAGACAAAGTCTCACTCTGTCACCCAAGCTGGAGTGCTATCTTGGCTCACTGCAACCTCCACCTCCCAGGTTCAAGCGATTCTCCCACCTTAGCCCCCCGAGTAGCTGGAACTACAGGTGCCTGCCACCACGCCCAGCTAATTTTTGTATTTTTAGTAAACACAGGGTTTCACCATGTTAGCCAGGCTGGTCTCAAACTCCTGATCCCAGGTGATCTGCCCACCTCGACCTCCCAAAGTGCGGGGATTAAGGTGTAAATCACTGTGCCTGGCCTAGTGCTTCATTTTTAAAATCCAACAGCCTTATAACAAATAAAGAATTTCTTCAACTTTCAAACCTAAAAAGTGATTTTAAATATGGAATGGACTTAAGCTTCTAAAACATTACTTTGTAACCTATGAGTGTACCCTCTTGTATACTAAACCAGAAATTTCCAGAACAGCTTCCATGCACTCTAAAATTTTCCAAATGTGGACGGGTACAGTGGCTCACACCTCTAATCCCAACACTTTGGGTAGACCATGAGGTTAGGAGTTAAAGATCAGCCTGGCCAAGATAGTGAAACCCAATCTCTACTAAAAATATGGAAAATTAGCCAGGCGTGGTGATGGGCACCTATAATCCCAGCTACTGAGGAGGCTGAAGCACAGATCGGCTTGGACCCAGGAAGTGGAGGTTGCAATGAGCTGAGATGGCACCACTGCACTCCAGCCTGGGCAACAGAGCAAGACTCCATCTCAATTAAAAAAAAAAAAATTTCCAAATGTGAGGTTACAGACATTTTATTACATGTACTGTTTTCTATTACAAAGACTCTGTAAACACACAGTGTACACTTACCTAAACCACTGGTATCCAGCTCATAAATGTCATTGACAAGATAAAAAGAGCTTATCTGGCACTGAGAACAGCCAGAATTAAAGAATCCACCCATTCTGGTAGGCACAGGACCCAGGAAAGGATACTGGAAAAAAGGGGAAAAAATAATGCCCTTTTAAATCCATTTAATTCATAAAAAATAAGAAAAACAGGTAACTAGTGGATAAAAACCTGTCTCAGTGATTCAGCTAAAGCCACTAATCAGCAAACTAATAACTGAATCATTATGGTAAAAACAGAAAATCTGTATTAATTTGTTGCTAGCTATTAAAAACTTAAAATCACACAAAAAAACTTATTTTGCTTTCTCCCTCACTATCAAGGATGGATACTCAGGAAGCCTCTACAATTCCCTCTGAGTCTAAAATATTCTTCTTTCTCCTACAGAAGCTATAAACTGGCACAAAACACAATTCCTTACTACTCAACCACACCAAACTCCTACTTATAAAACAGTCATAAATATTGCAACTGTGATGGCAAATACATATTGATGGTACCTGAATATCCTTCTCAATAAATCGCTTTCCTGTCTCCAGGGCTGCCTCCAGCTGCTGAAGGAGCAAACGAAGAATATCAATCCGGGAGGATACCCCATTCTCGGCAGTCTTCTCCGAGTTCTTTGGCTCCAGAGGGTGGTTGAGACTTGTAAGTCCACTGATCAGCCTCAATGTTAAAGATCGGATTCTTAACCACAAGGTCTCCTCTTCTAAGGAAAGTTTCTTATGTTCTTCAGAAACATCCCTTAAACAGAAACATCTCCAAATTATCTAAGTTATTCAATCTGTTGCTTTCAAATCTTTTAAAGTTAACTTTCATCAGTTAAGGTATCTTTGAATGGTTCCAGATTTCATTTACTAGCTGAAAGACCTAAGACAAGCCAAAATCTTCTCAAATCTCATTTCACTATCAACAAGATGGGAATAACAACCTATTTAACAGGTCATTTTCCCTGTAAGTTAGACTTTGTTCTCTGATTATAAAAATAATACTTGAGGACAGTTGTGGTGCCTCACACCTGTAATCCCAGCATTTTGGGAAGCTGAGGTGAGGGACTGCTTGAGGCCAGGAACTGGAGACCAGACTAGTAAACATACCAAGACCCAGTCTCTAGAAAAAAATACAAAAAATTAGCTGGACATGGTAGCACACACCTGTAGTCCTAGCAAATAGGGAGGCTGAGATTGGAGGACTGCTTGAGCCCAGGAGTTCAAGGCCTCAGTGAGATATGATCATGCCACTATACTCCAACCTGGGTAAGATCCTGTCTCTAATAATAATAATAATAAATGATATAAAAATTTCAAATGATAGAAAAAAAGTAAAAAGTAGAAAGAAAAGGTGTCCTGATAAACCAATACCCACAGCATTATCAAGTTTGGTATAGATCTTTTTAGACTTTTGTAATGCAGATGTATAAAAATCTAACTAAAAATAGGGGCTGGGTGCAGTAGCTCACGCCTGTAATCCCAGCACTTTGGGAGGCCCAGGTGGGCAGATCAACTGAGGTCAGGAGTTTAAGACCAGCCTGACCAACATGGCAAAACCCCGTCTCTACTAAAAATACAAAAACCAGCCAGGCGTGGTGGCAGGCACCTGCAATCCCAGCTACTCAGGAGGCTGAGGGAGGAGAACTGCTTGAACCCAGGAGGTGGAGGTTGCAGTGAGCCGAGATCACACCACTGCACTCCAGCCTGGGCAACAGAGAAAGACTCCATCTCAAAAAAAGTAACTAAAAATATTATGTATACAACTTAATAATTTTTATTTTTTTTTTGAGACAGAGTTTCGCTCTTGTTACCCAGGCTGGAGTGCAATGGTGCGATCTCGGCTCACCACAACCTCCGCCTCCTGGGCTCAGGCAATTCTCCTGCCTCAGCCTCCTGAGTAGCTGGGATTACAGGAATGCGCCACCACGTCCAGCTAGTTTTTTGTATTTTTAGTAGAGACGGGGTTTCACCATGTTGACCAGGATGGTCTCGATCTCTTGACCTCGTGATCCACCCGCCTCGGCCTCCCAAAGTGCTGGGATTACAGGCTTGAGCCACAGCACCCAGCCTACAACTTAATAATTTTAAACAAATTGGTTACAGTATGCAACAGAGGCTCTAGCCCCACCAAAAAAAGTAACTAAAAATATTTATACAACTTAGTAATTTTAAACAAATTGGTTACAGTATTTATATTATTTTGCAAACTTCATCTTTTTACGACAGTGTGTGCAGAAAAGAGTTAACACAGCCGGCCTGCAGCTATTATGGTTAGAAGGGCCTGCTTACAAGGTTGGCCCTTGGCTGATGTCTGGGAACTTTGCACTCCAGCTGTTCCCTAAATGCTAAGAGTGGTTCACTGTGCCTAGACTGTTTATACAAACCATGTTATTTATCGTGAATGCCTGCTTTTTTTCCACTCACGATGGACAGAGTGCACCTACATAACTAACAATGAAACCTTAAGCACCAAGTCTCTATTGGGCTTCCCTGGGCAGAAACATTCCACCTTATGTTACTGCATTTTTTCCTGCTAGAGAAAGGAGCATGCTCAGTGTTTCCCCTCAGAGGAGGGAGAAAGCACTGGAAGTCTGAGTTCTCCAGACTCTGCCTGTGCCTTTTTCCCTTCTGGATTCTGTCATGTGTCCTTTCACTGTAACATGCCTTAGCTGTTGAGTGCAACTACATGCTCAGCTCTGTGAGTCTTTCTGGGACTCAAAAATCCTAATCACTGAATGAGGCTGTGGCAACCCATAAATCACAGAATTTTCAAAACTACCTCATATATACATCTTAGCATTTTTCTGCATTTAATTCCTTAGGTTCTACCTTCCTGGAAACAGATCTGCTGAATAACGTGGCATTTTAAATCTTGATACATATTACTAAAATACCCCACAGGAAGGTTGTATAAAATTTATTCCTGTGTAAATGCATAGTAGGTATTTTCCACACAGCCTTGCTTAACCACAAGTATTCATCTTTTTTGCTAGAAACAAAATCTTTATTGCTATACAATTTGTTTCTTTGAAGTTCTTGTTAAGCCCTTTGCTCAGTTTCTATTTTCTTACTGATTTATTAAGAGTTCTCTCTGCCGGGCGCGGTGGTCAAGCCTGTAATCCCAGCACTTTGGGAGGCCGAGGCGGGTGGATCACGAGGTCAAGAGCGAGACCATCCTGGTCAACATGGTGAAACCCCGTTTCTACTAAAAATACAAAACATTAGCTGGGCATGGTGGCGCGTGCCTGTAATCCCAGCTACTCAGGAGGCTGAGGCAGGAGAATTGCCTGAACCCAGGAGGCGGAGGTTGCGGTGAGCCGAGACCACGCCATTGCACTCCAGCCTGGGTAACAAGAGCGAAACTCCGTCTCAAAAAAAAAAAAAGAGTTCTCTCTATATATGAAGGATATTTATATAAAGAAATTTACTATGAATCTTTAGAACCTAACAAATTTATCATTTCTATTTAAAGAAGTTATATCCTTTATGGTTCCAGATTTGATACAATGCTAAGAAAGGCTTTCCTCACCTATTTAAACCTATTTTCTATTATTTTCTTCTAGCATTTCTAAGGAATCTGCAATTTAGTCTTTAATCTGTCTGAAATCCTCAAATATACTGTGAAGTACATCTAACTTTTAGATTAACCAGCAGTCCCAGCATAGGGGTGAGTTATATTTGCTTCATTTGGCTTGCCTATATTTTCTGATTCCTACAACAAACACATTATGTTATTTCGTATTTGCATAAAGTAGAGGTTTTTAAAAAAAATTTTGGAGTCATCCTAATTCTTTTTTTTTTTTTTTTTTTTTTTTTGAGACAGAGTTTTACTCTTGTTGCCCAGGCTGGAGTGCAATGGCGTGATCCCAGCTCACGGGACCACAGCAACCTCCGCCTCCTGGGTTCAAGAGATTCTCCTGTCTTAGCCTCCTGAGTAGCTGGGATTACAGGCATCTGCCATCATGCCCAGCTAATTTTCTATTTTTTTTTTTACTAGAGATGGGGTTTCTCCATGTTGGCCAGGCTGGTCTCAAACTCCCAACCTGAGGTGATCTGCCTGCCTCCCAAAATGCTGGGATTACAGACGTGAGCCACCGCACCCAGCCTTTTTTTTTTTTTTTTTTGAGACAGAGTCTCACTCTGTCGCCAAGCACCAGGCTGGAATGCAGTGGATGCAGTGGCATGATCTCGGCTCACTGCAACCTCCGCCTCCCAGGTTCAAGCAATTCTCCTGCCTCAGCCTCCCGAGTAGCTGGGACTACAGGTGCATGCCACCACACCCAGCTAATTTTGTATTTTTAATAGAGGTGGGGTTTCACCATATTGGCTAGGATCGTCTCAATCTCTTGACCTCGTGATCCACCTGCCTCGGCCTCCCAAAGTGCTAGAATTACAGGCGTGAGCCACGGCACCCAGCCCATTTTTTTTTTTTTTTTTTTTTTTTTGAGATGAAGTTTTGCTCTTGTTGCCCAGGCTGAAGTGCAATGGTGGTGCAGTCTTGGCTCACTGCGACCTCTGCCTCCCAGATTCAAGCAGTTCTCCTGCCTCAGCCTCCTGAGTAGCTGGGGTTACAGGCACATGCTGCCACGCCCAGCTAATTTTTATATTTTTAGTAAAGACAGGGTTTCACCATGTTGGCCAGGATGGTCTCAAACTCTGGGCCTCAAGTGATCTGCCCACCTTGGCCTCCCAAAGTGCTGGGATTATAGGTATGAGCCTCCATGCCAGTCCCATCCTAATTCTTTAAAAATAAATGGCTTTACCCAGGAGTTTGAGGCTGCAGTGAGCTATGATCTTGGTCTCTTTAAAAGACCTTGTCTCCCCGCCACAAAAAAAAAAAAAAAAAAAAATTAAAAATTGCTTGGTGTTTAAATTCTAATTACCTGTCTTTTGGATCCCAGCTGAAAAAAACATTTAAGTCTCTGTTGTCTCGCAAATCTTCCCATGGAATGTCATCTTCTTCTGGCCTAAGGTTCATTGACTTTATACTTTCTGCTAAGCTGGTTGATCTGTGATAAAGAAAAATGCATGCATTATTTTAATAGTTAAATAACCAGAAAATATTAACTAGGACTTCCTGTTTTACTAGACAGGAAGGGAAAGAGGAAGGAAGGATTTACTATTAAGGGCTCATATAATGTGAAATAGAACCAAGCACAGATCAAGCTGGCTTGTTACATGGCAAGAAAAAGGTTCTAGAAGCCCATACAAAACAAAGGGGATCAGAATTCCTGAAATCCTTTGATTTGTAGGGAGGAAGGAACCTTTGTAAGTACAATATGGACCAGGGGTTGATGACCATGACCTAACTGGCTTCTGTAATGGTCCTAAGATGTTGCTGACAGTACTCTATCATTCCCCATGCCATATATCAGGCTGTTTCCCCACTTTCTCTTTCCCTTTTTTCCCCCCTATTTTACCTTAAGGCTGCTAATAACACCCATGAGCCCATTAACGGCGCTTAGCAACTGATCTAATCCCTTAGTTCCTTTATAGCTCTTATGCAATACTTACATATTTGCTTCAAGTAGAAGGTCTAACAGCATCCGTTCAGTACGGACTTGTGCAAAATGAAGAGAATTATTCAGCCTGTTCCTAAAAGCGATAAACTCTGGGATCTTCTCAAATGCACCATATTTGTAAGCTTGAATAATATATTCTGAGGTCTGAGAAGGAAAAACACACCTTGGTATAAATAGTTCACAAGTCAGGCAATGTAAGTAAACCTTGCCAGCCAAAATAAAACGCTCAAACTAAAATTAAGTTTTAAATCTAATCTTTTTTTTTTTTTTTTTTTTGAGACAGAGTTTCGCTCTTGTTACCCAGGCTGGAGTGCAATGGCACGATCTCGGCTCACCTCAACCTCCACCTCCTGGGTTCAGGCAATTCTCCTGCCTCAGCCTCCTGAGTAGCTGGGATTACAGGCACGCGCCACCATGCCCAGCTGATTTTTTGTATTTTTAGTAGAGACGGGGTTTCACCATGTCGACCAGGATGGTCTCGAACTCTCAACCTCGTGATCCACCCGCCTCGGCCTCCCAAAGTGCTGGGATTACAGGCTTGAGCCACCGCGCCCGGCTTAAATCTAATCTTTAAAGGTCTTGGTCACCAGGTAGAATATTAGCTTTTTTAAATGTTATTTTTCTTCCTTCTTATATTTTAGACAAATATCTCCTTTACTAATAATATTACTAATTGTAATAACCAGCCTCTGCCGCCAGCACATAAGCCTTCCCTTGGCAGTCATGTCTTTCAAGTCAATAGGAACTGAGGTTTTGTTTTGCCACATCAGTCAAAAATTTGGTTAGTGCCATTCTGGAAGGGATATTACTCCATGTTTTTCTGCATCTAAGATAAGCTGTGTTTCAAACAAAGGTTCCAAAAGCACCAGAATAATAGAACAACCTGCCCCCCACCCCGAATAAAAACCACTCTCCTTCAGAAAAAGACAGCCTGCTCCTTGGTTTTGTTTATTTTTGAATACTGTATCAGAAACATAGGGCATATGAGTATTACATCAGGACAGAAGACACCAAACAAAAGACCTATAAAAATTCACATTATATTCTGAGGACAAAGACTTCAAGAACCAAGTTTCTTGTCCATCTGCATAGACTTCTGCTGGAAATTTCCTTAAACAAGTACGTGAAGGGAACACTCACCACATGTTGCTTTAATTGTAGCTTAATACATAGACAGAGATCAAACATTACAGAACAGAGGCAAGATAAAGAATTCTAAACAGAAATTCTGGCACAATAGAGTCTCAGAGAAGAACAGTTCATGGGTGTGGGTCTATGCCATCAGGATCAGAAGACAGAAGATCACCCCTTTGGGCCAAAGAAAGTATTATGCTCAAAGCTGATGTCTGCCCCCAAAAAAGATCCTTTCTAGAAAAGCCAGTCTTTTTTACATAGCCTCAGTTAATCAGCTCTGCCCCCATCTCCATTAGGTCTGAATAATTTGCCCAGTAGGAAAATAGGCCAATAGTCAACAACATACCCTCTGATATACAGCCTTGCAGGGTTCATTTCAGGCCGCGGGATTGCGCCACGGGCGCTAATTCAACTGCATTCGATGCGGCTTTTAAACCCCCATGGGACACCTCGGCGAGCTGTTTGCCTGCAGTATCTGGAGAAATTAGAGACGGACGGACACAAGAAAATTAAAAAGATTACTTGTGATCCTGCAGGTTTCAAGAAGGACTACCTGAAAAAGCTCAACTATACCTTCTAGCTTGATTAAAGGACAGTGATACACCCTATCGAGAGGAGGCCAGGATACTCTAAACACATATACCTATCCTATGGCCCCTTGGCTTAGAAAACATAGCAAGGTTTACTATATGCCCTTGTAACAGGAACTTACAGCTGCGGGGAGGGGGAAAAAAACAACAAAAAACCCCAGCTGGTTAGGAACACATGATTCAGCAATTAATCAAAAAGAAAATATGACTTCAGTAACTCCCATCAAGGTTATAATTACAGTTCCAAAGTATGCTATGATTAAAGGAGGGAACCCAGCCTTACCAAGTGTAGGGGCAGTTTTACTTTCTAAGTGGTCTGTGGAACACCATTTTATTTATTTATTTATTTATTATTTTAAAAAAAGGGGGGACAATCGATTTTCAAAGAGAAAAATAAGGGGCAACAAAAAGTATAGTTTTTAAGAAACTAAGAAGGTAGCTATAGTTCTCTGGCTTATCTTTTTTAGATAGTCCTTCTATAACACTGCAGTAAAGTACCACTGCAGAGCTAGACAAGTGTCTGGGATGCAACCAGTAGGACCAAGGCTGTGGAAATATTGCTATGTAAAGAAACAATCCCCTATTGGAACTGCAGGCAAAACTGGAAGCCACAGGCACTTTCAAGACTTTTGAATGTCAAAGTATGTTGTCCGTACCTATTTCTACTCATTTATGCACCAATGAGGCTATTTAGATCCCGAATGGATTCCTGAAATGAACCCTGGTCACTGTAAAAATTAGTAAAATATATGGACATAAAACCCCTGAATAATTGATCTTTGTGAAAACCTAAAATAGACTTTTTTTTTTTTTTTTTTTGAGACAGAGTCTCACCCTGTAACCCAAGCTGGAGTGCAGTGGTGCAATCTCAGCTCACTACAACCTCCACCTCCCAGATTCAAGCAACTCGCCTGCCTCAGCCTCCCAAGTAGCTGGGATTAAAGGCGCTTGCCACCACATCCAGCTAATTTTTGTGAAAAACAGAGATATTAAAGGGAAATTTTAAAGAAGTAAAAACACATAAGTGACTTTTAGAGATATGAAAATCTAGTGCTTATTCTCATATTTTAAAAAATCTATACCAAAGTAAGATGACAACAGAAAATAACCTTGCTAGGAAGAAAATCCCTATGCAGACCTCGCAAATACAACTTTCAATCCCATAGCACAAAACGTTACTAAGCAGAACACTAGATTTTCCATTTAAGTAAAAGTGTTCTTTTGAAGAGCTAGGTGGGAATTGAAATGCATCAGTCACCCAAGGAAAAAGCATCAGGGGATCCCAAAAACTATCAAGAATAAAAGATGCAGAGTATAGAGCTCTGGCTTTGAAGAGAAATTTCTAATACTCTGAGCAGAAAGTTGAACACACACAGTAAGACACTACAGTCATAATCTTTCTTAGCCTTAGATTTCTTTAGGAAACAATTCACTTCATAGTCTCAACATTAAGGTCAAGGCACATGTTCCTTGCTGTACTGTAGTTTTATTTTTTGGGGGTGGGGGGGGCGGTTACAGAGTCTCTCTCATCACCTAGGTTGGAGTATAATGGTGCAATCTCAGCTCACTGCAACCTCTACCTCCCAGGACAAGCAATTCTCCTGCCTCAGCCTCCTGAGTAGCTGGGATTACAGGCACCTGCCACCATGCCCGGCTAATTTTTATATTTTTAGTAGACTGGGTTTCACCATGTTGGCCAGATTGGTCTCGAACTCCTGACCAGATTGGTCTCGAACTCCTGATCAACTCACCTTAGCCTCCCAAAGTGCCTGGATTACAGGTGTGAGCCACTGTGCCCAGCCTGTACTGTATTTTTCTTTTGCCTCTAGGACTCCTCAAGATTATGTCCTGCCAGAAGATTAAATAAGCTCCATCTTCTTGGTAGTAATCAAAATATATTTCAAGTATCCTAGTCTCTGATCAATAAAATGCTATAATTTTTATCAGGTTCAATATCATATACATTCAGATCAATTAGTCACTTTTGCCATACACAACCATCAGTAAAACATCAAAGGCGCACACACACACACACACACACACACACACACACACACAGAGGGAAAAAAACCCACTGAGGATGATGAATCCCCTCAAATTGCTCCTAGGTGTCTCCTTTGCCTATATTACAATACTCTTGTAATTTTAGAGTTTTTTTCTTTCAAAACAACTATTCGGACACAATATTTGTGGAAAGAAAAAAAGTAAAGCCTAATTCTGATGTATGTAAAATAATGTGTCTTTACTGACCACATCTTAAAGAGTACTATAGTTGTTCTAGAATGCTAGATGATTAAAAGCTACAGGAAAACCAGCCACCAGGCTGGAATTAATCCCTTATTTACTCCCACTACCTCAAAGCTATTTGAAAAACAAATCTTTGAAAAGGAATCTTCAGTTAATCAAATGTTTCTTTAATCTCTCTTATAAATACAGAAATAAGAGCATAAATACTGAGATTTGAGGAAATCAATTCTTCCGATTTTTTTGTTGTTGTTTTTAGTGACACTTCTTAAAAACAGGAGGTCAAGCACAGATACTTGAACACACAATGAAAATTCATAGGTTTATAGCTCATGCATGCTAGGAGATTTTAGAAACCCAACATCCTAGAGACGACCTTCTGACCTCTAAGCCAGGCCAGCACCTTCTGAGCAAAATGATCAGATGCTGATACTCATTCTCCTCTCACCCTGATCAGAAGCTGTGCCACAAAATGAAGTCTGAAGGGAGATACCAATCACTGGGGGAGCACAGGAGCCACTCTGGGGAGGGATACAGGACTAAGAACCAACTAATGGTACACAGCTCATGATCTAAGCACAAGAGGCTGCTTTCCACCTACTCAGAGCTGTCCTTTGCTACTCCAGCCCTCTAGGCCACTCCCTGAAACTTGTCAGAACATAATTATCATAAACGGAAAACAACAAACCTATATTCCATGTCCAGAAATGCTTCTGCCCTGCCTTCCATTTAATACATCCTTAAAGAATTAGATAAAAGATTAGTCATCCTGTTATAGTAACAAAAAGGTTTTAAAAAAAATCCTCATGAGTGTTTGCCAAGAAGAACCCCAGAAACTAGCTTCCTTGCCAGTTCCTTAATTGCTCATAGACCATGAAAATGGAAAGCTATGGGCAGATAGCTGGCACGGCCAATTTCAGGCGATAAGGCTTAGAAGTCTGTGAAAACCAAGTAGGCAGTGATCACCCTGAAGACATTCCTTTTCTCCATATTCACTGTTGGGCAGTTTTTCACAATTGGTCGACTGAGTACAGACCGTATAGTTTTCCTACAAAAACTTCTGCTTAACCAACAAGTAGAGCTCAAGTCTGCTTTGCAGTGAAAAATATGGTGCAAATCCCATCCTTTCATTATGGCACAGAGAAGCTCTATTTTATTTGTTACTTCCTTTAAAAACATATTATTCATCTAAGTTTCTTGGAATGTCTTTTAATTTTCTAAGAAAATATAAGTACATTCGCTGTTGGCAAAGAGCACAATGGATATAAATTTCAGAATTAAATAAAAGTAACAGCAGCTGCTATTGTAAAATGTTATATGGTATCCCAGGCTATGAACGCTTATAGGCTGTTTCTTAAACACTTGGAAAAGTCTGTTAGAGATCAAAAGATAAGTCTAAATGGAATAACACTTCCTAGTCAGTTAAGTACCGGTTTTAAATGCAACTTTCCAAGGATTCTATTAAACACACTCATTCTAACAAACACAAATAACTCTCTACCTCTTCCTACCAGCCTTGGACAGTAAGCTGTGGTCTAAGGGCACTCGTTAGTTCAGTATGTGCTAACGTGTACTTGTGACATGAGGTGACACACTCCTCATTCGTGTGCAGTCAGCAAGCAACATCACAGTTGAAAAATGGTTTTTCACTTACATCTTTCTGGTTGGAGTGAAAAAACCTGAGTGCGAAGTTACAGGATTGGGACGCAGCAGCATACTGACCTAGGGATTCAGCATATCGGGTCAAAAGATAACTAGATTAAAAGGAAAGAAAAAAACAAAAGACATGTTATACTTACCTACCTACCTCAGTATCAAATATTACACTTCAAATTACTTGGCAAAAAAACAGCAAGGCATAAGGAAAAACTAAAACATACTGCCACAGAAATTATCTAATTCACAAGATAAAATTTTTTTAAAAAAGCACAAAAAGTTAACTCAGTTTTGTGGGAGACCTAAAGTTCTATACCCTGCTTTCTTACACTCTGATGATTAATGGCACATAAAAGTTCTAAAACAACATAATGCTATCTTCCTCAAACAGCACCATAGAGAACAGAGAAAATGCCATTAAGTAATAATAGCATAATAATAAACAGTAGTCTAAATACAAATCCAAAATACAAATTCAGGCTCTGTTGGAGTCAATAAATAAAGTACATGTGTCAACTTGAACTACAAAGCAGAAATGAACACTTCAGAATAATGTTTGCTAAGAATAAGGGTTCAAAATACATAGCTATTTGCTATCTCTGGGGAAAACTCACATTTCTAAATCGTGTACATTTTCAAATTACCACAAAATGCTAGGAGATATTAAAATCTTTCTGCTTTGCAACAGATCATAACAGGTTATTATTTAATCGAAAAGGCTTAATGTCAGGATCAACTTTAAAACCTAAGTTAGAGTCCTGGATACCCCACACTGGTGTAGCCAGCTGCTCATTATTCAGAGTATATACTACCAACCCAATGGTATCATGCTGGATATGCTTAGCATCAAGGCTGGAGTAAAGATCCACCACTGGTTCAAATGCACCCAGCATACAGTAGATTCGTACAAGCAGCAATTTGAACTGAGCATTGGAAGGGCTATGGGTTAATCCCTCTTCCAGCAAAGTCAGGGCCTGCCACACAGCGGTCTCATCACCTAGAACCAAAATACAGCATTATCCACTGAACCTGACAGCACATGAAGGCTTCCCAAAAATAATAAACAAAACCTTAGTGATATCATCACCCCCCCATAAATGAAGTTAAATGACAGAGAACAAATTTTAGATATATATCTATAATCAAAATAAAGAATTTCCCCTAAACAGAGAGTCCTTCAATAATTAAAGTCTATTCTTAAACATGTCCACTGCAAAAATGATACGTATTTAAGGTGCCTAGGATTCTGGGAAGAGATAGACTTTGAAGGGAAACTGGAGTTCATCACTTTGTCCCTGCAGGATTTCCTCTATAAGACCCCAGACAGATATTCTCTGTAGACATCATTTTTTTTCCACATGAAATTTTACTAACAGAATGGCAAATAGGATGTTTGAAAATATTTACTCATTAATAATCAAACTAAAATGCCTTAGTTTGATTTTTTTTTTTTTGGTCCATGAAAGTTCAAAAGGTACATGCATCTGTAGTCTTCAAGATTAAATAACTTATTCTTTGGGATCCATCTAAAGAAAATACTATGAAATACAGATAAAATTTTATATACAAAAATAGTTGTCATACTATCTAATGATGTAACGATGGGAGAATGATTAGGTAAATTATAACTTCCACACCTGGAAACGTCATATAAACACTTGACATTAATAAAGAGTTTTTAATTACAAAGAAAAATGTTTGTGCAAGAATGTTCAGTAAACACACATACAAAGAGAACATTCGAGTTAGTACAAAGAGTTGACTTCAACTATTAAAATATGCTCAAAGAGAAAGAAAACAAATAAATATGTTAGCTGGGCATGGTGGCTCATGCCTACAATCCCAGCACTTTGGGAAGCTAAGGTGGGAGGATCACTTGAGCCCAGAAGTTCAAGACCAGCCTGAACAACGTAGCTAGACCGTCTCTATTAAAAACATTTTTGGAAAAATTAGCCAGATGTGGTGGTGCACACTGCCTATGGTGGCAGCTACTCAGGAGGCTGAGGTTGGGAGGCTTGCCTGAGCCTAGGAGGTCAAGGCTGCAGTGAGCTGTGATCCCGCCACTGCACTCCAACCTGGGCAGCAGAGTACAATCCTGTCTCAAGAACAGAAAAAAGAAAGAAAGAAAGAAAGAAAGAAAGAAAGAAAGAAAGAAAGAAATGCAGAAGTGATAGAGTACTTCTGAGGTCCAGAAAAGTGAGATTTTAAGTAAACTGCTTTCCACAATTTGTACAAGCTGCTTTTACAGTCAGTAACAATAGCTAAAATCAAAGTGCCATGCAGTAAGATTTTAAGGTAGGACAAGGCAGATGACTTGAGCCCAGGAGTTTGAGACCAGTGGGAAACATGGCAAAACCCTGTCTGTAAAAAACACAAAAACTGGCCAGGGGCCGTGGCTCACGCCTGTAATCCCAGAGCTCTGGGAGGCCAGGGTGAGTGGATCACCTAAGGTCAGGAGTTTGAGACCAAAATGGCCAACATAAAACTTCTCTACTAAAAATACACAAATTAGCCAGGCATGGTGGCGGGTGCCTATAATTCCAGCTACTCAGGAGGCTGAGGCAGGAGAATCGCTTGAACCAGGAGGTGGAGGTTGCAGTGAGCTGAGATCGCACTACTGCACTCCAGCCTGAGCAACAGAGTAAGACTCATCTCAAAATAAAAATAAAACTTTAAAATAAATAAAAAGTAAATTTAAAAAATTTAAAACTAAGTAAATAAATAAATAATACAAAAGCTAGCTGGGCATGGTGTCATATACCTATATTCCCAGCTACCCCGGAGACTGAAGTGGGAGGATCCCTTGAGCCCAGGAGGTTGAGACTAGAGTGACCTGTTATGGTGCCATGGCACTGCAGCCTGGATGAGAGAGTGAGACCCTGACTCAAAAAAAAAAAAGGGGGGGCTTTCAGAAAAAATATTTGAGAGCATCAACTTCCTAAAGCACTCAATCCTTTCGAATTCAAATCAATCTCTTTTTTTTTTTTTTTTTTTTTTTGAGATGGAGTTTCGCTCTTGTTACCCAGGCTGGAGTGCAATGGCGCGATCTCGGCTCACCGCAACCTCCGCCTCCTGGGTTCAGGCAATTCTCCTGCCTCAGCCTCCTGAGTAGCTGGGATTACAGGCATGCGCCACCATGCCCAGCTAATTTTTTGTGTTTTTTTAGTAGAGACGGGGTTTCACCATGTAGACCAGGATAGTCTCGATCTCTTGACCTTGTGATCCATCCGCCTCAGCCTCCCAAAGTGCTGAAATTACAGGCTTGAGCCACCGCGCCCAGCCAAATCAATCTCTTTCAATGCCCTCTTCAACTTTCCAGTTCTGCCTGGTCCACCTTGAATAATGACTATGACTGTGACCGGAGTACTTCAACATCCCTTTCACTGACTTCAAGAAGCCCTGCCTCTTTACAAGATCTACAATTGCATTTTACAAATGATTCTCATTTATTTGTCTGCACCGCAGGATTTGGGACAATTTACGTTTTTTCTCTCTGCCCTCCACTTCTCTCATCTATAAAACTGTGACAGTAACTGTATTATTAAAATGTTTAAATTGGCCAGGGGCTCATGCCTGTAATGTCAGAACTCTGGGAGGCCAAGGCGGGTGGATCCTACAAGGTCAGGAGTTCAACACCAGCCTGACCAACATGGTAAAACCCCATCTCTACCAAAAATACAAAAATTAGCCAGGAGTGATGGTGTGCACCTGTAATCCCAGCTACTCAGGAGGCTGAAGCAGGAGAATCACTTGAACCTGGGAGGCGGAGATTGCAGTGAGCAAGATCACACCACTGCATTCCAGCTCGGAAGACAGAGGAAGACTCCGTCTCAAAAAAAAAATAAAAATAAAAAAATAAAAAAATAAAAAAATAAAATATATATATATATATAATGTTTAAATTAGTTAATTTGTATAAAGTGCTTTCATATGTCTGATGATCAACCGTCTGTTGTTACTATAATCATATGGTCACATACCTTGCTCAAAATAAGAGACTAGCAAAGCCATAATCACTATTGGTGAGAACAGTGGTAGGCATAAGTAAGAAAGGCTGACTGTGTGGGGACCAAATTACTAAGTGACCAACTCATTCATGTTTTTATGTTTAAATGACTTTTGCTGCCCTATGTAGCCTCATGAATCTAGGGGCTCAAATAACAAGTTCTCTGATGACAAGGATTTAATTCTCATCCCTGGTACAATATAGTGCAACAAGTACTACCTGCTGGGCGTAGTACTTGGGATTACACGCCTATAATCCCAGCACTTTGGGAGGCCGAAGCTAAAAATACAAAAACTTGCCAGGCATGGTGGCATGTGCTTGTAATTTCAGCAACTCTGGAGGCTGAGGCATGAGAATCACTTGAACCCAGGAGGCGGAAGTTGCAGTGAGCAGAGATCACACCACTGCACTCCAGCCTGGGCAACAACGGCGAAACTCCATCTCAAAAAAAAGCAAACCTGAGTGCTCTGTGAAATGATCCATGAGGGCGGGAGTTGTGTTCATCTTGCTCACCACTGTCTCCTAGCCCTTTGTTTCTTCTATAGTTTATCCTTGTGAAAAATACACAATAAGGACCTAAAGTTATTTTTTTCTCCAAAATCACTAATGAGACAAAATGTCAGGGGGTGAGACCTAAAGAAAAGGCAATCCTAAAATCATTTGCTGAATCATCCTTCTCTTCCCCAATCATTCACAATGCTTCCTTTACCATGTCTTATATTTTTGTCTTAAGTGAGACAAACTGTATTCCAGAAAGAATGCATTTTCCTAGATATAAAATTTTTTTAAGTGAATAAAAAAGGATATTCTGTTCCATAGGCCTGTACGTGCATTTTTTTTTTTTTGAGACAGAGTCTTGCTCTGTCACCAGGCTCACTCCCACCACTGCCTCCTGGGTCCAAGCAATTCTCATGCCTCAGCCTTCCAATTAGCTGGGATTACAGGCATGCACCACCACACCCAGCTAATTTTTGTATTTTTAGTAGATATATACATGTACAGGACAGGCACACTGGTTCACACCTGTAATCCCAGCATTTTGGGAGGCTGAGACAGGTGGATCACAAGGCCAGGAGATCAAGACCGTCCTGGTCAACATGGTGAAACCCCACCTCTACTAAAAAAAAAAAAAAAAAAAAAATTAGCCAGGCGTGGTGGCGTGCGCCTGTAATCCCAGCTACTTGGGAGGATGAGGCAGGAGAATCGCTTGAGCCCAGGAGATGGAGGTTGCAGTGAGCCAAGATCGTGCCACTGCACTCCAGCCTGGCGACAGAGCAAGACTCCGTCTCAAAACAAAAAAAGAAACAAACAAACAGAACAGACATCCATTCATTTAACATTATCCTGGTTACAGGGGTATAAACTGGAGACAGGTTTTTGTTTTAATTTTGAGATGGAGTCTTGCTCTGTCCCCCAGGCTGGAGTGCAGTGGCACGACCTCAGCTCACTACAACCTCCACCTCCTGAGTTCAAGCTGTTCTACTTCAGCCTCCTGAACAGCTGGGACTACAAGCATGTGTCAAGACACCCGGCTAACTTTTATATTTTTAGTAGAGATGACATTTCGCCATGTTGGTCAGACTGGTCTTGAACTCCTGACCTCAGGTGACCCACCTGCCTCAGCCTTCCAAAGTGCTGGGATTACAGGCATGAGCCACTGCACCTGGCCAAGACAGGTTTTTCTAGAAGTACCCTAGAAATGGCAAGAAAAGTAGAACCTAAACGAATAAATCAAATTTGTGGACTGTGTAATTAGTCTAAGGAAAGAATGTAGTACTTATAATCAAAAGAAGCAAAAATGAAAAGTTGAACTGAAAGCACTGTTACTTACCTGTTTCCCTCCATACATCAATAAGCACATGAACAGCAAGGAGACAGTAATAGTCAGAAAATTGCAATTCTGTTTTCAAACAGGTTTTCCCTATAGGGGGAAAAAAATCATATCTATTTTAACATTTGTTCAACTATTACTGATCCCAAAGGAGTTTTTAAAAGCAGGAAAGTGACAGGAGGGAGAAGAGGAAAAGTAAAGTAAGAATAAGTACTAGGAGAAAAATATAAGCCACGAATCAAAGGGTTCAAAAGAAGGTGAGACCACACTCAACTGGAATAGAAGGTAGGGTTCCAGAGCAGAGGTGGTATCCATGATGATCCCAAAGGGAGAGAAGGAAAATTTGAAGGAGGTTGAGGTGAAGAAAGTAACATAAGCCAAACGCCATGTGTAACTAAATTCACACTGAGCTCCTGACTTTAATTCTTTGAACTATAGAGAAATACTGACATTTATAGTCAGACAATTTATATGTCTATCACATATATCTAGCAAAGGCTACACCCATCTGAAGATCATCTATGTCTAAAGTAAATAATTATCTTACAATTTACAATATTCCTTTTGTTCACTTACAATCTGTATATTAAGAATATTTAGGCCTACAGGCAGAAAATGTGATAATTATCACAAACTATGCAATCTATATGGACCCCAATCTAATAAAAAGTTAATTCATCAGATAAAGAAAAACATAGACAATTGAAAGCCAATGAGAATTATTTAAAACTCCAGGCTTAAGAAAGGCTTTACATCATATTACTTAGATGGTCTTCCCAGACAAAATATTCTCCTTATAAAATTCATTAAAAGAGGGTGCTACAGGTGCTTAAAAAACTGACTTCTAAGTCTTAGTGTAGATCAGGGAACTACTGCACATTTTGAATGGTTGCTCACCAAATTCTAGTCCATGCTGGTACCTTAACATCAATTCTCTGACCACACTCAATTTCTGATTTTTATCCATGGTGTGGTACAAGCCAAGTAACCTCGTCAGCTGCACCACACACAAATGTTGCTGCAGAGCTCTGATGTCAGCAGGCAGTGCCAGCTTATCCTCTGTTGGTGTCGACAAAGGAACAACTCCAAGTAACTGATTAATAAACTGCAAAGTGGGGAAAAAAGGAGCAAAGGTCTCAAAACACAACTAGTCTTCAGTAGGCCATCATTAACAGAAATAGAAATGGTCTAGAAAAAGACATCGAGAAAAAACCAAAAACTAAAATTCCTTTCGTATGCCATTTTCTATCTACCAAAATAGCTAAAATGAAAAAATTTATGACAGCACACAACACTGGTGAAGCTCCAATGAAACTGGCACACTCACTCATTACTGGCCAAAAGTATTTGTCTATACACGTACTACAGGCAGTGAAAGATTTTTAAAATTCTGAAAATGTTCAATAACTTATAGCATATTAATATGATATATATTGTAGCAATGAAAACATTTTATTAGGAAGACTATACAAAAGAGCAGATTACCAAAAACTAAACAAAAAATTTTTAATCTGTAATTACACTCATAAATAAATTCTGAAAGGAAAGGTTATACATGGAAAGAAATTATTTATCTCGTCAGTGACCCTAAATTTTTCTTAATTGAACTTTTTACTATAATTATAGATTCACATTCAGCTATAAGAAATAACAGAGATCCATGTACCATTCATCCAGTTTCTCCCAAAGGTTATATCTTGCCTTAATATGTTTTTCATCCTTTAAATTTGGATAAAAATTAAAACAAAAAAACCCCACGTACCAGTTCTAGTTATTTATTTCTTAAATACATGCTTATTTTTCTCTCACTTCTAAAATCCTATTAAGATGCCAGTAAGGAATTTAAAAAAAGAATAGACCAGGTGTGGTAGCTCACGCCTGTAATCCCAGCACTTTGGAAGGCCAAGGCAAGCAGATGACTTGAGGCCAGGAGTTCAAGACCAGCTGGGACAACATGGTGAAACTCCATCTCTACTAAAAATACCAAAAAAAAAATACAAAAAAAAATTTAGCCAGGCATGGTGGCGCACACCTATAATCCCAGCTACTCAGGATGCTGAGGCAGGAGAATCACGTGAACCCAGGAGGCAGAGGTTGCAGTGAGCCAAGACTGCTCTACTGCACTGCAGGCCTGGGCAACAAAGCAAAGACTCCATCTCAGAAAAAAAAAAAAAAAATTAAAAAAGAAAAAGAATAAACCCAAGATCAAGAATATGTGAAGAGGCCAGGAGCGGTGGCTCAGGCTATAATCCCAGCACTTTGGGAGGCAGAGGTGGGAAGATCACTTGAGCTCAGGAGTTCAAGATCAGCCTGGGCACATAGTGAGACCTCATCTCTACTAAAAAAAAAAAAAATAGATATATACATAGATTAGATAGATAGACAGATAGAGACACACAGAGACACACACACACACACACACACACACACACACACACACACACACACAGCCAGGCATAGTGGTGGTGCATGTCTGTAATGTCTGTAGTCCCGGCTACTGAAGAGGCTGAGACAGGAGGATGACTTGAGCCCAGGAATTTGAGGCTGCAGTGAGCCATCACAGCACCATTACACTCCAGCCTGGGTGACACAGCGAGACCCTTTCTCAAAAGAAAAAAAAAATGTGTCAAGAAATGAGAGATGACAGCAAAAAAAATCATTACCTGATTTCAAAAGATACAAGAATAGATGGTAAGAAATAACCAACTTACATTGTCAAGAACACTGAAATCTAATAGTATGCAATGAGGAGGACCTCAATAACCAGGAAGCCACTCCAGTCAAAGAACCTTGGAAGAGGCCGGGCACAGTGGCTCACGACTGTAATCCCAGCACTTCAGGGGGCTGAGGTGGGCAGATCACCAAGTCAAGAGATCGAGACCATCCTGGCCAACACAGTGAAACCCCGTCTCTACTAAAATTACAAAAAAATGCCGGGCGCGGTGGCTCAAGCCTGTAATCCCAGCACTTTGGGAGGCTGAGGCGGGTGGATCACGAGGTCAAGAGATCGAGACCATCCTGGTCAACATGGTGAAACCCCGTCTCTACTAAAAATACAAAAAATTAGCTGGGCGTGGTGGCGCATGCCTGTAATCCCAGCTACTCAGGAGGCTGAGGCAGGAGAATTGCCTGAACCCAGGAGGCAGAGGTTGCGGTGAGCCGAGACCACGCCATTGCACTCCAGCCTGGGTAACAAGAGCGAAACTCCGTCTCAAAAAAAAAAAAAATTACAAAAAAATTAGCCAGGTGTGGTGGCATGTGCCTGTGGTCCCAGCTACTCGGGAAGCTGAGGTGGAAGAATCACTTCAACCCAGAAGGTGAAGATTCTAGTGAGCCAAGATTGGGTCACTGCATTCCAGCCTGGTGACAGAGCAAGACTCCATCTCAAAAAAAAAAAAAAGAATTTTGGAAGAGTCAAGAAACCAAAGGCACCAGGTATTCCTAAAGGATAAGGTGCTGGTGGGAATGAAATAGAATATATTAATTTCTAAAACGTTAGGCCCCTCCCAAAGTTCACAGATGGAATTCCTAAGCGTGAGTAGAACAGCCTGGGTTTTACAGCCATAAAAATCTGAACCAGAGATACAGAATCAGAGACAGCAGTCATAGCTGAAAACAGGGGAATAAATGAAATTTGCTGATTCAGTGATAATTCCAGCCTCCCACTCTATACTCCCAACCATATCCCAGAATGCTATCAGCCAAATGTATAAGTTCCTAAACAGATAGTGGCAAACAGGCTCTATGGAAAGCATTTCTTACACTGGTAAAGAAAGGGGTAGAAAGGACAGAATCTCATGCTTTATCCTAAGTATATAAGAAGGAAATTGAGATGTTATAAACAACTAATTGCCTTCCACCGAAGGGCACCAAGAGATTAAGACCATAATTGTAAAAATAAATTGTTAAATAAGCCAATAATTTACAAATATGAAGGAGAATAAAATAATTTAGTTGAAAGTGATTTGCATGTGTTGAGCTGGAACACAAAGAGTGACTACTGCCTTTCAACATAAGCCTTGTGATACTATTTAACTTTTTCAGTTTTACACAGTACATGTATTTCTTCTTTTTTTGGGTGGCGGGGAGTGGTCTCACTATGCTCCAGGCTGGACTCAAGCAATCCTCCTGCTTCAGCCTCCTGAGTAGCTGTGACTATAGGTGCGTCCCACTGCACCCAGCTCCAATACATGTAATTTTTTGATACAAATTTTTTAAAAATTGCTTTGAAGAATGTCATGAGAAAAAGAAAAAAAATTTTTTTAATTAAAATTAAATCTCACTCATCCTGCAGTGTCACATCTAATTTGCCTCAATTTGTCTATAAGCATATTAATTTTAATCATTATGATCAGATATATATTCCATACTTTTAGCAAACTGCAGCACTGATTTTCATGTTTTTGTTGTTGTTTTTGAGATGGAGTCTCACTCTGTCACCCAGGCTGGAGTGTAGTGGTGCAATCTCGGTTGACTGCAACCTCTGCCTCCCAGGTTCAAGCAATTCTCCACGTTGGTCAGGGTGGTCTCGAACTCCTGACCTCAAGTTGCCCACCTCAGCCTCCCAAAGTGCTGGGATTACAGACGTGAGCCACTGTGCCAGGCCATAATTTTCACGTTTTTGATTAAATGCCTGTATAGTTTCTACTGCCAGTTCTTCTGTTCTTGCAAGCCATTAGCTATGTTTACTGCTGCCTTCTTTAGTGAGTGCTAAATAAAAATCTTCCTGATAAGGTTTTGTTACACAACAATCTGCTCATTCTTTATTTTAGTCTGTACAGTTTTATTGTTGTGCAAAAAATTTCCTTACAAACTAGAATTGGCTGGGCGCAGTGTCTCATGCCTGCAATCCCAGTACTCTGGGAGGACGAGGCGGGGGGATCACCTGAGGCCAAGAGTTTGAGACCAGCCTGGCCAACATGCTGACACCCCGTCTCTACTAAAAATACAAAAATTAGCCAGATGTGGTGGCATACACCTGTAATCCCAGCTACTTGGGAGACTCAGGCAGGAGAATCACTTGAACCTGGGAGGCGGAGGTTGCAGTGAGCCAATATCATGCCACTATACTCCAGCCTAGGTGACAGAGAAAGATTCCATCTCAAAAAAAAAAAAAGAAAGAAAGAAAAAGAAAAAAAAGAACCAGAATCATTTGATTGTTTAGCTAAAACCCCAAAGCAAAGGGAACAAAAGATTAGAACATCACCCAATGTAAGCCATTTCAGGATAACTGGACTCACTGGCTCACTCTTAGGGGCTAGTCAGACTTCAGAAAGATTTGGTTCCTAGTTTTTTAGAACAATTCTCAGCTTGAACCCACTTGGACAGTTGATAATCCTCTGACAAACATACTTGCTGAGTGGCAGGCTATTTTAGCTACTGAAGTCATCCTACAGTCAAAAAGTAGCAGCAAAATTACCTCTCTCAAGTAAAATTTACCTAGACTTGGACTATAAATTCAATGGAAGAGCTTTAAATCCTTATTCTCACAAAACAGTGACTAGAGCTTATCACTGCTAGTATTCCAGCAGGGGTCATCTTAATAGAAGATTCTTACTATGTGGGATCACATGAGATGACCTAAGATTTTCAAACATACCAATGAAGTAGAGCTGCACAGAAAAGGTTACTGGTACTAGATTGACAGTAGCAAACCTTTATGAACCTCAGCTAAAAGCAGCAAAGTGTTCCTTTAATGCAGCCCCACCATTTGATGCTTCAACTTGCTAGATTGTAAGCACTGTGAGACAGGATCAGTTATTCCCTTCTCTTAGGGCAGGCGTCCCCAAACTACGGCCCTCATCCCCAAACTACGGCCCTCGGGCCGCATGCGGTCCCCTGAGGCCATTTATCCAGCTCCCTGCAGCACTTCAGGAAGGGGCACCTCTTTCATTGATGGTCAGTGAGAGGAGCACAGTATGTGGCGGCCCTCCAATGGTCTGAGGGTGAACTGGCCCCCTGTGTAAAAAGTTTGGGGACGCCTATCTTAGGGCTTAGCACACAATATGCTCAACAAACACTCAATGAATGAATCCCTCCCACATGGTTTATCTACATTCTGCTTCAATCCCTCCAGCAATGTGAAGCTTACACACAGTACTTGAAAGAATTCTCACTACCAAGAAAGATCCTTTTCTCAGTGAGCCAAATTCTGAGCTCCCTGTAGAACTTCTTGCTGGTGGTCCCTGTCTTCCTCCCTCTTCTAAAGACAGCTTTTCATATGCTTTCAAATCCTCCTACAACCCATAACTCTCCTTTCTGGATGTGCTACAATTTATCCAGAAACTTCCAGGGTTGGTCTGAGCCATGTAACCACAGCAACTCAAACAGAGCTCTCCTAAACCAACGTGATGGGCGACAGTCATTTCAGAACCCCAGAGAGCACTGGTTATTTACCAGTTGGGGAATGCACTGATCCATCTGCCCAAATGTATAACCCCACGTCTGCCAAAGTATTGAACCTTCATGGACTAAAACTGTGGTCATTAAAAAAATACTCTAATTATATCCACTGTGCTCCCAATGTACTTCATTCATTTCACGTGGGGACAATGGAAGGCTTTCTGGAAGAATGGATGGTCGAAGCCCTGTCACAGAAAGACTTCCAATCTTCCCAACCTGGCCAACATGGTGAAACCCCATCTCTACTAAAAATACAAAAATTATACAGGCATGGTAGTACACCAATAATCCCAGCTACCTGGGAGGTTGAGGCAGGAGAATCCCTTGAACCAGGACACAGAGGTTGCAGTGAGCAGAGATTACACCACCGCACTCCAGCCTGGGCAACAGAGCGAGAGCAAGACCATGTCTCAGAAAAAAAAAAAAAGAAAAGAAACAAGACATTAGAAGGAAACGCCACTAGACTTTAAAATGTAAACTTTGTGCTGCAGAATTTCATCAATAGGATGAAAGAACAAACTATAGACTGGGAGAATACATTTGAAACCACATATCTGAAAAGGAACTTGTATCTAGGATATATAAAGAACTCTGCAAACTCAACAGTAGGGAACACTTATTTATTTTATAGAACAAAGCATTGCCCAATTCTCAAAAATTAAAAAAAAAAAAAAAGGGCCAGGCACAGTGGCTCACACCTATACTACCAGCAATTTGGGAGGCTGAGGCAGGTGGATCACTTGAGGTCAGAAGAGTTCAAGACCAGCTGGCAAACATGGCAAAACCCTGTCTCTAACTAAAAATAGAAAAATTAGCCAGGCATGGTGGTATGTGCCTGTAGTCCCAGCTACTCAGGAGGCTGAGGCACAAGAATCACTGGAATCCAGGAGGCGGAGGTTGTAGTAAGCCTGGGCCAGAGAGTAAGACCCTGTCTCCAAAAAAAAAAAAAAGAAAAGAAAAAAATTTAATAAAAGGAATCATACTATGTGTAACTTCTGAGATTGGCTAATTTCACTCAGCTAAATGCCTGCAGAGTCATCCATCTGGTTGCTGTGATCTTGGCTCACTACAACCTCTGTCTCCTGGATTCAAGTGATTATCTCATCTCAGCCTCCTACATAACTGGGAATATAGGCGCTCACCACCATGCCTGGCTAATTATTTTGTATTTTTAGTGGAGACAAGTTTCCACCATATTGGCCAGGCTGGTCTAGAACTCCTGACCTCAAGTGATCCGCCAGCCTGGGTCTCCCAAAGTGCTGGGATTACAGGTGTAAGCCACTGTGCCCAGACTCTTCCCCCCCCCCCTTTTTTTTTTTTTTTTAAAGAGACAAGAGTTTCACTGTGTCACCCAGACTAGAGTGCAGTGGCATGATTACAGCTCACTGCAGACTCAAACTCCTGGGCTCAAGCGATCCTGCCGCCTCAGTCTCCCAAGTAGCTGGGAACTATAGGCACACACAATAGTACCTGGCTCTACTTCACAATCATAAAATGACAAAATTATAAAGATGAAAAACATAGTGGCTGCCCAGAATACAGATGGGCGAGGGGGAGGTGGCTACGGTAGAGTGGGATTCTGGTGCTGGTGGGACTGTTCTGTATTTTGACTATGGTAGTAATTGCACAAATCCCTATGTGCCAAATACTGCACTAAATCCATACACACACACCCAACACACATAAAAGTCAGTGCATACAAAACTGGCAAAAACTGAGTAAGTTCAACAGATTACAGCAATAGTAATTTCCTAATTATATGACACTGTAATTGTGCAAGATGTTGCCATTGGAACAAAACAGATGAAGGATATGAGATCTGTGTTATTTCCTCCAACTACAAGTAAATCCATGATTATCTCAAAACAGTCAAAAAAAAGAAGAATCCATCATCTATTAGGGATTTACTCCCACTGTGATTTAAACAGAAACTATGCCTTCAATATAATAACACACAGAGTACTTAGCTTGACAGGGCAGTTATCATTCAATCTCATGATCATCAATTCCACACATTTTAGAAAAGAAACTCAAACATTTAACCTCTGTGTTTCAATAAATAGAGGAACCCAACAAACTTCTAAACTGTACAGTACTTACTTTTGTACACTGTGCAGCAGGTAAGAGGTCAACAAACACCTTAAGGTCTGTAAAACAACAAGGTTTATCGCCAAACTTTTTAAAATACTGGAACATTAATTCTTCTGGATCACCTGCGGGATGCAGAACAAAATCACTCTATTATTCATGAACAGAAGCAATTTCTATTTAAGTGAGAATCTAATTTGAAAACATTCATTTCAATTAAAACAAATTTTGCTTGCGGCTGGTCCCAAGATAGTGGGTTATCTCAACTGCTTGTTCAGTTACTGACTGAACTCACTGTTCTACTCTTTCCCCCTTTTGACCACCACTGCATCTCACTAATCTTTAAAAAAAAAAAAAAGGCTGGATAGAGTGGCTCACACCTGTAATCCTAGCACTTTGGGAGGCCAAGGTGGACAATCACTTGAAGTCAGGAGTTCAAGACAAGCCTGGCAACATGGTAAAACCCATCTCTACTACAAATACAAAAATTAGCCAGGTGTGGTAGCACATGCTTGTAATACCAGCTGCTCCAGAGGATAAGGCAAAGGATCGTTTGAACCCAGAAGGTAAAGACTGCAGTGAGCCAAGATGATGCCACTGCACTTCAGCCCAGGTAACAGAGCAAGATAAAATTAAATTAAAAATTATAAAATAGGCCAGGCACAGTGGCTCATGCCTGTAATTCCAGCACTTTGGGAGGCCAAGGCAGGAGGATCACCAGAGGTTAGGAGTTCAAGACCAGCCTGGCCAACATGAAGAAACTCTGTCTCTACTAAAAATACAAAAAATTAGCCAGGCGTGGTGGTGCCCACCTGTAATCCCAGATACTTGGAAGGCTAAGACAGGGGAATAAGCTTGAACCCAGGAGGCAGAGGTTGTAGTGAGGAGAGATTATGCCACTGCAGTCCAGCCTGGGCGACAGACGAAGACTTCATCTCAAAACAACAACAAAAAAAAAAACACTGTAAGCTAGGCCAGGTGCAGTGCATCATGCCTGTAATCCTAGCACTTCAAGAGGCTGAGGTAGGCAGATCACTTGAGGCCAGGGGTTAAAGACCAGCCTGGGCAACATGGCAAAACCTCATCTCATCTGCCCAAAGCCACTGTGCCCACCCTCTTTTTTTTTTTTTTTTTTTAAGAGACAGGGTCTATGAAGACATTTGTTTCCCAAACATGACTGAGTCACTGTAGGTCTCAAATAATGAATATAGCATTTGGGCATAAAGGGCATTCTCCAAGCTTCCCAGGTATCATACGGTTTCTTACCGAGTTTGTACTCATCATTACAACCTTGACTTCGTAAGCGCCTAATCAGCTCCAATTTAGCTAGATGTGGGCCTCGGAGATGGCGAGAACTTTTAGATTCTTCCATTATCCGATCTTCTATAAACTTCACAGCTTCTTCTGCAGAATAATGTACTTCTCCTTCTAAAGAGCTGAGGAGAAGCACATGAAAAAAGTATTTTATTGCCTCTATTATCCTTCCCAAAGCTTAAAGTCAAGCCAAACTCATTTAAAAAAAAAAAAGAAAGAAAGAAAAACCACTCTGATAATTATAAAATAATATGAACAGGAATAATAAAGAACTATGAATATATTCTAACAGACAACATAAGATTACTCAGTTTTAGCATTTGATTACTGCAGCATAACTAACTACTTCACCTTTTTTTAAAAAAATGAATAGTTTTGTATATATAAAATATTGCCTGGCAGGGCATGGTTGCTCACATCTGTAATCCCAGCACTTTAGGAGGCTAAGACGGGCAGATGATTTGAGGTCAGAAGTTTGAGACCAGCCTGGCCAACACAGTGAAACCCCGTCTCCACTAAAAGTACAAAAAATTAGCCGGGCGTGGTAGCACACCCCTGTGGTCCCTGCTACTCAGGAAGCTGAGGCAGGAGAATCGTTTGGACCCAGGAGGCAGAGGTTGCAGTGAGCCAAGAGCACACCATTGCACTCCAGCCTGGGTGACAGAGCGAGACTCCATCTCAAAAAAAAAAAAAAAAAAAAGGAAATATTGCCTAATAAAAATATAAAGTTGGGTGTGGTGGCTCGCACCTGAAATACCAAGCACTTTGGGAGGCTGAGGTAAGAGTACTGCTCGGGCCCATGAGGTTAAGACCAGCCTAGGCAATACATGGAGACTCCATCTCTACAAAAAAATTTAAAAATCATCCAAGTGTAGTGATGCACACCTGTACTCCCAGCTACCTGGGAGGATGATGTGAGATGATCACTTGAGCTTGGGAGGTGGAGATTACAGTAAGCCAAGATCACACCACTGTACTCCAGACTAGGTAACAGAAAAAAATCCCATCTCAAAAAAAAAAAAAAAGGTGGATACAGGGGCTCAAACCTATAATCCTAGCATTTTGGGAGGCCAAGGCGGGTGGATCACTTGAGCTCAGGAGTTCGAGACCAGCCTGGGTAACATGGTGAAACCCCATCTCTACAAAAAACAAAAAACTAGCCAGGTGGTGGCTCATGCCTATAGTCCCAACTACTCTGGGGGCTGAGGCTAGAGCATCACTTAAGCCCAGAAGGCAGAGGTTACAGTGAGCCAAGATCACACCACTGCACTCCAACTTAGGTGACAAAGTGAGACTGTCTCAAAAAAACACAAAAATTAAAAACTAAATACACACACACACACACACACACACACACATATTTTTGAGATGGGTCTGGTGATTTTATTTTATAGCTTGAAGAGTGAAAACTGAGCAAAATTAGGTAACCTGGTTAATATTATGAAATAAGCATCAGCTCATAACTGTCATCTTGAATCTATTTCTGTATTGATATTTTAAAAGATCTCTTTAATTCATTTAACTCTAGATGCCTATTTAAAAAAAAAAACAACACATTTTTATTGTAGTACTTCCTACAATAGCCAGTAACAAAAGGATAAAGGAAAAAAAGAGATCTTCAAAAATCCAAGTATCATCAATAGGGAAAAGGCTAAATGAATTAGGGCACACTGGAGTACTCATAAGCCACTTTAAAAAAAATGAGAGAGGCCGGGCGCAGTGGCTCAAGCTTATAATCCCAGCACTTTGGGAGGCCGAGGCGGGTGGATCACGAGGTCAAGAGATCGAGACCATCCTAGTCAACATGGTGAAACCCCGTCTCTACTAAAAATACAAAAAAATTAGCTGGGCATGGTGGCGTGTGCCTGTAATCCCAGCTACTCAGGAGGCTGAGGCAGGAGAATTGCCTGAACCCAGGAGGCGGAGGTTGCGGTGAGCCGAGATCGCGCCATTGCACTCCAGCCTGGGTAACAAAAGTGAAACTCCGTCTCAAAAAAATAAAAAATAAATAAAAAATAAAAAAAATGAGAGAGATCTTCATGTACCACAAATGAAAGATGTTCAAGATGTATTTTAAAGTGGAAAATAACAGGTTGCAAATCATGTCTAATGCAATCCCATTTTTATGTTAAACGTAAGAATAACTGGGGCCAAGTGGGGTGGCTTAAGCCTGTAATCCTAGCACTTCGGCAGGCCGAGGCGGGCAGATCACGAGGTCAAGAGATCAAGACCATCCTGGCCAACATGGTGAAACCCCGTCTCTACTAAAAATACAAAAATTGCCAGGCACAGTGGCTCACGCCTGTAATCCCAGCACTTTGGGAGGCCGAGGCAGGTGCATCACGAGGTCAAGAGATCAAGACCGTCCTGGTCAACATGGTGAAACCCCGTCTCTACTAAAAATACAAAAAATTAGCTGGGCATGGTGGCACATGCCTGTAGTCCCAGCTACTCAGGAGGCTGAGGCAGGAGAATTGCCTGAACCCAGGAGGCGGAGGTTGTGGTGAGCCGAGATCGTACCATTGCACTCCAGCCTAGGTAACAAGAGCGAAACTCCGTCTCAAAAAAAAAAAAAAAAAAAAAAATTAGCTGGGTGTGGTGGCACCTGCCTGTAATCTCAGCTACTCAGATGGCTGAGGCAGGAGAACTGCTTGAAACCGGGAGGCGGAGGTGGTAGTGAGCCAAGATTGTGCCACTGCACTCCAGCCTGTTGCCTGGTGACACAGTGAGATTCTGTCTCAAAAAAGGAATAATTGGGCGAACTCAGTGGCTTATGCCTGTAATCCCAACTCTTTGGGAGGCTAAGGCAGGTAAATCACGAGGTCAGAAGATCAAGACCATCCTAGCTAACATAGTGAAATCCCGTCTCTACTAAAAATACAAAAAATTAGCCAGGCATGGTGGTAGGTGCCTGTAGTCCCAGCTACTTGGAAGGCTGAAGCAGGACAATTGCTTGAAGCAGGGAAGCAAAGGCTACAGTGAGCCAAAAATCACACCACACCACTGCACTCTAGCCTAGGCGACAGAGCAAGACTTGGTTTTAAAAATAATAATAATAAGCCGGACGCGGTGGCTCAAGCCTGTAATCCCAGCACTTTGGGAGGCCGAGGTGGGTGGATCACGAGGTCAAGAGATCGAGACCATCCTGGTCAACATAGCGAAACTCCGTCTCTACTAAAAATACAAAAAATTAGCTGGGCATGGTGGCGCGTTCCTGTAATCCCAGCTACTCAGGAGGCTGAGGCAGAAGAATTGCCTGAACCCGGGAGGTGGAGGTTGCAGTGAGCCAAGATCACGCCATTGCACTCCAGCCTGGTTAACAAAGCGCAACTCCATCTCAAAAAAAAAAATAATAATAATAATAATAATAGGCCAGGTGCAGTGGCTCACGCCTGTAATCCCAACACTTTGGGAGGCCGAGGCGGGTGGATCACGAGGTCAAGAGATCGATACCATCCTGGTCAACATGGTGAAACCCCATCTCTACCAAAAATACAAAAAATTAGCTGGGTATGGTGGTGCGTGCCTGTAATCCAGCTACTCAGGAGGCTAAGGCAGGAGAATTGCCTGAACCCAGGAGGCAGAGGTTGCGGTGAGCCAAGACCGTGCCATTGCACTCCAGCCTGGGTAACAAGAGCAAAACTCCACCTCAAAAAAAAATAGTAATAATAATAATAATAGTAATTAAGCCAGTTGCAGTGGCTCATGCCTATAATCCCAGCACTCTGGAAGACCAAGGCAGGTGAATCACCTGAGGTCAAGAGTTCAAGACCAGCCTTGCCAACATGGTAAAACTCTGTTTCTACTAAAAATACAAAAATCAGCTGGGTAGCTGGGCACGGTGGCTCACGCCTGTAATCCCAGCACTTTGGGAGGCTGAGATGGGTGGATCACCTGAGGTCAGGAGTTCAAGACCAGCCTAGCCATTATGGTGAAACCCCATCTTAAAAAAAAAAAAAAAAAATCAGCTGGGAATGGTGACGGGGGCCTGTAGTCCCAGCTACTCGGGAGGCTGAGACAGGAAAATGTCTTGAATCCAGAAGGCAGAGGTTGCAGTGAGCCAAGACTGTACCATTGTACTTCAGCCTGGGTGACAAGAGCAAAACTCTGTCTCAAAAAAAAAAAAGAAAAATTATCTTAGCATATACATGGAACTAAATCAGAAGGAAAGGCACCAAACTGTTAATAAGAGTTATTTCTGGAATGACAGGATAAGTAGAAATTAAATTTGCTCACAACATATTTCGACACTAACAAGATTTTTAGAATGAATTCATGTATTTTATACTTTATAAAATGGGGGGGAAAAACTCTTAATTTTTTTTTTTTTTTTTTGAGACAGAGTTTCGCTCTTGTTACCCAGGCTGGAGTGCAATGGCGCGATCTCGGCTCACCGCAACCTCCGCCTCCTGGGTTCAGACAATTCTCCTGCCTCAGCCTCCTGAGTAGCTGGATTACAGGCACGCATCACCATGCCCAGCTAATTTTTTGTATTTTTAGTAGAGACGGGGTTTCACCATGTTGACCAGGACGGTCTCGATCTCTTGACCTCGTGATCCACCCACCTCGGCCTCCCAAAGTGCTGGGATTACAGGCTTGAGCCACCGCGCCCGGCCCAAAACTCTTAATTTTTATTTTTTATTTTTTATTTTTTTTATTTTAGAGACGAGGTTTCTCCGTGTTGGTCAGGCTGGTTTTGAATTCCTGACCTCAGGTGATCCACCCACCTCAGCCTCCCAAAGTGCTGGGATTACAGACATGAGCCACCATGCCCAGCCCAAATCTCTTACAGACATAAAAAGGGAATTCAATTGGCTTATGAGGAAAGCCTTTCACTACCACATATTAAAAAGTGCCATTATAATTCAGGAAAGAAGACAACTTACTGTTCACCTTCAGCAGGAGGAGTCCAGGCCTCTTCAATCAGTCGAAAGACAGAATCGAAATAAGTCAGATAGAACTGCCAGTCATCTGAGCTAAAATCAGATTGAATGATGCACACAGAATTAAACCCAAGTTGTGACAGATCTGCCTTAGGAACCATGATATTCAAGTTATTTTCTAATTTATATTTTAGTATGTAGTAAGTTGGCTTGCTCCCACCCATCCCGTGTTTCCTTTACAACTCTAAAAGGGCATTTTCCAGAGGCATTTTCAAAGTAATACTACTTTGTAAACAGTAGTAAACTACTCTTTCCTTCAATAAAATGACCAAGTCTAGAAAACTAATATGCGTAGCACAAAAGTCCCTACATAAGCACTTAGGAAATGAAGAGAAGGGGAGAGAAGTGTTATGGCAAAGAATGAAGACTCTTTAAGGAGAATATTGAATTTGAGAAATTAATGATTTTCAGTGTTCATTCTTAAGCCCTAACTAAAATTTGGTGACACAAGTACCATTTTTTTTTTGAGACAGAGTCTTACTCTGTCACCCAGGCTGAAGCGCAATGTCGCAATCTCAGCTCACTGCAACCTCTGCCTCCTGGGTTCAAGCCATTCTTGTGCCTCAGATGCCCAAACAGCTGGGACACAGATGTGGGCTACCACACCTAGCTAATTTTTGTATTTTTAGTAGAGACAGGATTTCGTCATGTTGGCGGGGCTGGTCTCAAACTCCTGACCTCAAGTGATCTGCCCGCCTCGGCCTCCCGAAATGCTGGGATTACAGGCATGAGCCACCACACCCGGCCTACAAGTACCATTATAATACTCTACTGAAAGATTAAGCCTCCTTAAAAATGTTACAAACATGCAGGACACAACTACTATAAAAAATTTTATGTCTAGAAACTTCAAAACAAATCAATAGTGAAGTCTTAAAGCCTCACTAATCAAATGGTAGAAAAGAAACCTTTGACTCACTTTTTTAGTAAGAGGCGCCGGGAAAGGGCATTGCACTCTGGCCACCTGCTCAGCTTCTTGTACATAGCCATGCATTTGTTTTCCCGACTCTGAATCTCACTTGTCAACTTTTCTAAAATTAGAAGTTATAAAAGTTGGTAAGCTGGTTTCGTTTCTGCTCAATAACCAGAATAGAATCCAACCACAAGAAGAAAAATGTCACATTTTCTTTTGTCTTTTTTTTTTTTTTTTTTTTTTTGAGACGGAGTTTCGCTCGTTACCCAGGCTAGAGTGCAATGGTGCGATCTCGGCTCACCGCAACCTCCGCCTCCTGGGTTCAGGCAATTCTCCTGCCTCAGCCTCCCGAGTAGCTGGGATTACAGGCATCCCCCACCATGCCCAGCTAATTTTTTGTATTTTTTAGTAGAGATGGGGTTTCACCATGTTAACCAGGATGGTCTCGATCTCTTGACCCTGTTATCCACCCGCCTTGGCCTCTGAAAGTGCTGGGATTACAGGCTTGAGCCACCACACTCGGCTGTCTTTTTTTTCAGACAGAATTTTGCTCTTGTTGCCCAGGTGGGAGTGCAATGGCGAGATCTCAGCTCACAGCTATCTCCACCTCCTGGTTTCAAGCGATTCTACTATCTCTCAGCCTCCTGAGTAGCTGAGATTACAGACATGTGCCACCATGCTAGGCTAATTTTACAGTTTTAGTAGAGACAGAGTTTCTCCATGTTGGTCGGGCTGGTCTTGAACTACCAACCTCAGGTGATCTGCCTGCTTCAGCCTCCCAAAGTGCTGGGATTACAGGAGTGAGCCACCACACTGGCCTTTTTATTTTTTTGAGACGGAGTTTCACTCTTGTCACCCAGGCTAGAGTATGGTGGTATACTCTTGGCCCACTGCAACCTCCGCCTCCTAGGTTCAAGCGATTCTCTTGTCTCAGCCTCCCAAGTAGCTGGGATTACAGGTACCTGCCACCACATCTGGCTAATTTTTGTATTTTGTATTTTTAGTAAAGATGGGGTTTCACCATGTTGACCAGGCTGGTCTTGCCTGACCTCAGGTGATTACAGGCATGAGCTACCAGGCCCAGCCAGGCTAAATGTCACATTTTCCTACTCACTCTCTTAGAAAACGGGACCCCTATTACATACAAACTATTACTACCTTACTAAAGATTGTTTTACTGCCAAAAAAAAGTAAATTACTGACACTACACTTTTTTAATCATTTTCTTTGTAAAATGATAGGATCCAAGAGGTAATAGATTGAAGATCTATTAACACTACATGGGATATACTTATAAAATCCCAACAGCATCTAGGGCCAAGTAAATTTAGTCCATAGGCTGCCCATCCATACAGTTCCAAAACATCAAATAGGGCTGGGCTAACATGAGGTGAGAAAGGTAAGACGCTGGAAGAAGACAAAAGAAAGCAGAGATGAATCCAACTCTTTCCAAATAACTGCAAACGAAAAAACTAGGATGATAGTTCTGACCAAATTAAATTTGCCCAACTGTTTAGCAGATTAAGGATACCAACAATTACACATTATGAATGTCTTGTTGAGAATCTAAATTTTAACTATCGATAAAACTATAGTTTAAAAAAAAAAAGAAAAAAGAAAAAGGCCAGCCTGATGGGTCACACCTGTAGTAATGCCAGCACTTTGGGAGGTTGAAGCAGGCAGATCACCTGAGCCTAGGAGATGAAGACCAGCCTGGGCAACATAGCGAGCCTGCGTCTCTACAAAAACTACAAAAATTAGCCAGGTATGGTGGCACACACCTGGAGTCCTAGCTATTTGGGAGGCTGCGGTGAGAGGATCACTTAAACCTAGGAGGTCAAGGCTACGGTGAGCTGGGATGATGCTACTGCATTCCAGCCTGGGTAACAGAGCAAAGCCCTGTCTCAAAAAAAAAAAAACAAAAAAAAAAAAAAAAAAAAACAAACAAAAAAAAAAACGTTTATTGTGAGTAGTCTAAATATCCATCAAGAACTGGTTAAGTAAATTGTCTACATTCACACTGTGGAACACTGGACAGTCATTAAAGAGAGTGACGTAGTGAACTTTATCTCTAGAAAATACTATTTAGTTAAAATAATAATAATAAAATATTGGAGGCTGGGTGTAGTGGCTCATGCCTATAATCCCAGCACATTGGGAGGCTGAGGCGGGCTGACCACAAGGTCAAGAGATAGAGATCATCCTGGCCAATATGGTGAAAACCCGTCTCTACTAAAAATACAAAAATTAGCTAGGCATGGTGGCACGTGTCTGTAGTCCCAGCTACAGGGGACGCTGAGGTAGGAGATCGCTTGAACCTGGGAGGCAGAGGTTGCAGTGAGCTGAGATTGTGCCACTGCACTCCAGCCTAGCAAAAGAGTGAGACTCCATCTCAAAAAATAAAAGAAATAATGGAGCCCAGTGTGGTGGTGTATGCCCATAGTCTTAGCTAGCTGGGAGGCTAAGGCAGGAGAATCACTTGAGCCCAGGAGTTCAAGTCCAGCCTGGGCAACACAGTGAGACCTCATCTCTTTAAAATAAATAAATAATAAAAATAAATAATGGGTATAAGAGCAGAGGTCACAAACTCAAATGCCTTCATAACACAAACAGGTAAATACAGAAGAAATGTCTGTTATATCTACAGAGTATGAATCCTGACTAGAGGGGCATTAATTTAAAATTTTTAAAGAAAAGAAATTTTTTTAATAAAAACATTGTGTAACTGAGTATTATTATATGATACAGGTATACTGTTTTCACTTGTGTTTAAAAAAAAAAAGTGCCAGGCACGGTGGCTCAAGCCTGTAATCCCAGCACTTTGGGAGGCCGAGGCGGGTGGATCACGAGGTCAGGAGATCGAGACCATCCCAGTCAACATGGTGAAACCCCATCTCTACTAAAAATACAAAAAATTAGCGGGGCATGGTGGTGCGTGCCTGTAATCCCAGCTACTCAGGAGGCTGAGAAAGGAGAATTGCCTGAACCCAGGAGGCGGAGGTTGCGGTGAGCCGAGATCGCGCCATTGCACTCCAGCCTGGGTAACAAGAGCAAAAACTCTGTCTCAAAAAAATAAATAAATAAAATAAAATAAAAGTGGGGAAAATAAATATTTAGAAGAATATAATGGACAACTGGAAGAATACCTAGAGGAAGAGGGCTAGAGATCTGGAGCACAATCTTTCACACTCCCTGAAGTTTCTGAATCTGTTAATTATTTTCAAGTAAAAACATTTTTAAAAATAAATTTTTTTTTTTTTTTTTTTGAGACGGAGTTTTGCTCTTGCTACCCAGGATGGAGTACAATGGCGCGATCTCGGCTCACCGCAACCTCTGCCTCCTGGGTTCAGGCAATTCTCCTGCCTCAGCCTCCCAAGTAGCTGGGATTACAGGCACAAGCCACCATGCCCAGCTAATTTTTTGTATTTTTTAGTAGAGACAGGGTTTCACCATGTTGACCAGGATGGTCTCGATCTCCTGACGTTGTGATCCGCCTGCCTCGGCCTCCCAAAGTGCTGGGATTACAGGCTTGAGCCACCGCACTCATCCCAATAAATTTATTTTTAATCCACTAAAAAAATTAATTTATTATGTACAGGAAAGTCTGGAAGAATATACAAAATATCAAAAGTGTTTATGTCTTTATATCCTTATGTGGAAATTTTCTACAATAAACATTTTTCATGATTAAATAGGAAAAAAAAAGCTTCAAGAAAAATTTTTTAAATTACCTCCTAATTTCCCTCTGATGACATCCAAGGCCTCCTGGTACTTTCCCAGACGTTCCAGTATCATATAATAAAGTTCAACCTTACAAGGAAGAAAAACAAGAAGTGCAACATATGAAACTTTTCAATAATAAAAAGACAGTCACTTATAGGTTTTGTAAAAGTCATTTAATAGAGCATATCTTCAAATGAGATGAAACTGACAGTAAGAAGCAGGTAACAGGGTCTTCTCCGTCTAAATCTCTCCCATCTATATACATTTCAGCCTAGAGAACTTTATACAAACAGCTCAGTGATCATTAGATCTAAGCTGAGCACTTCATATCTACCTAAAGGCCAAGAGTGAGGACCCAGCTATCAAACTGGAACAAAACAACAGTTTATAATACTGTAACTTAATATTGTAGTACTAGCAAAAAAAAATGAAAACACAAAACTAGGGCTTAAAATACTCACTTCAGCCTCGGCTTCTATCTTGTCCTCTTTCACCATTTTTTCTACCATTCTCTCAGCAAGGGGCAGAAACATTGTTTTTGAGAGGTTTTCATCCTGTGCCGATATAGACTGAAAGAAGAAAAATAACATTTCATTCTAATTTCTCCCTTGCTTGCACTATTTATATTAACATGCAGACCATTACTGTGACTTGGGCACATAATTATCAATCTACCATGTCAAATATCAGACCTAATCTGAATTCCCTGCAAGGAGGTACATTAGACAGTGGTTTGCTTTATAAAAGATTTCCTTACTCAGAATTCATTATCCTATGTGTTCTTGAAATACTAAGCTTCCTACAATACAACCTAGCATTTAAGTCGGTTATTTACACATTTTTCTAGAAGTATGTAAAGAGGGAGCATGCCTATACTGTTTATTATACATAATGTGTATTATCAGGTATTTGAAGAGGAAACCATTCCAGGTATCTTTAAGATATTCACATTTAAAAAAGAGAAATGCCAATTCCTTCCATTACACAGTTTACTAGTAGCTGGTTACCTTAAATTGGTAACTAAAATTAACACATGAAATTAATAAAGTTAATAACACCAGATTCTGTTCACAACTCACTTAATCCTTGTTTAAAAAAAAAAAAAAAAAAAAAAAAAAATCTTTCATAGGCCGGGCACAGTGGCTCAAGCCTGTAATCCCAGCACTTTGGGAGGCCAAGGCGGGTGGATCACGAGGTCGAGAGATCGAGACCAACCTGGTCAACATAGTGAAACCCCGTCTCTACTAAAAATACAAAAAATTAGCTGGGCATGGTGGCGCGTGCCTGTAATCCCAGCTACTTAGGAGGCTGAGGCAGGAGAATTGCCTGAACCCGGGAGGCGGAGGTTGCGGTGAGCCAAGACCGTGCCATTGCACTCCAGCCTGGGTAACAAGAGCAAAACTCCGTCTCAAAAAAAAAAAAAAAAGCCTTTCAAGGTATTATGCTTATTATGCTTATTTTATAAAGAAACTAAGGTTAGGCTAGGCGTGGTGGCTCATGTCTGTAATCTTAGCACTCTGGGAGGCTGAGACAGGTGGATCCCTTGAGGCCAGGAATTTGAGAACAGCCTGGCCAACACAGCAAAACCCCCGTCTCTACTGAAAAAGAAAAAAAATTAGCTGGGTGTGTGTGGTGGTGCATGCTTGTAATCCTAGATACTCAGAAGGCTGAGGCATGAGAATCGCTTGAACCCAGGAGGTACAGTAAGCCGAGTTCACTGCACTCTAGCTTGGACAACAGAAAAAAAAAAAGAAATTAAGGCTAAGAGTTACTCAGGAGGCTGAGGCATGAGAATCGCTTGAACCCAGGAGGTACAGTAAGCCGAGTTCACTGCACTCTAGCTTGGACAACAGAAAAAAAAAAAGAAATTAAGCTAAGAGTTACTCAGGAGGCTGAGGCATGAGAATCACATGAACCCAGGAAGTATAATAAGCTGAGTTCACTGCACTCTAGCTTGGACAACAGGAAAAAAAAAAAAAGAAATTAAGGCTAAGAGTTACTCAGGAGGCTGAGGCATGAGAATCACTTGAACCCAGGAAGTATAATAAGCTGAGTTCACTGCATTCTATTGGACAACAGGAAAAAAATAAAGAAATTAAGGCTAACAGTTTCCTCCAACAGCTCTCTTTAAGACATATGGTAAAGCTAGTGTATGAAGGCAGACCCCATAACATCCATTCTTAATCACTACTTTTAATTACTTCCTCCCCATCTTCTATACAGAATCTCTCGGTCCCTAGGAGAGAACTGTCTCCTTTCTGCAAAAGAGCAAACTGAGGCTCAGAAAGGAGAAGTAATAAAAGAAGGCCACCCAGTTCAATGAGCATTCACTATCCAACAATATTGTCTTAAAGGCAAACTACAAGTTCTAACATCAAACATTTCAAGGCTCATGCTTGAAATACATCAGAGATTCAGGGGAAATATAGTCAATGCTGCACAAATAAACTGATATACCAACTCATAAATACTCAAAATCCCTAACTTAACTGACAACACATAAACTTAATGCCTGTTTGGCATGCTACAACACATTACACAAAATGTTCACAGCCAGATGCAGAGGTTCATGCCTGTAATCCCAGCACTTTGGGAGGTTAAGGCAGGAGAACTACTTGAATCCAGGAATTCAAGACCAGCCTGGTCAAAAGAGCAAGACCCTGCATCTATAAATAAAGTTGCTTTTTTATAAATTAGCCAGGTGAGGTGGTATGCACATGTAGTCCCAGCTACTTGGAAGGGTGAGGTAGAGGGATCACTTGAGCCCAGGAGGTCAAGGCAGCAGTGAGCTATGACTGCACCACTGCACATCTCCCTGGGTGACAGACAGAGCAGGATCTTGTCTAAAGTTAAGTTCAGAAGGCACACTGAGGACAATGACTATATAAAACATAAAAGCAAACTTCAATCCCATTCTGAATGCCATACTCACTTGCATAATTAAGCTCATCACAGACCAAAAGTAATAGGGATTTTTGGGGACAATCTTATATAGAGCCATGCCAGCCTGAAAGAGAACCATAAATATTTTATTTAGAAAACACCATACAGAGGGCAATTAATGATCTAGATACATGGCAGAAAGTTTCTTAGGAGAACAGGAAGGTATTTACATATCCTAGTTAGTGTAAATGCCTAGTGACTTGATGGTTAGGGTAATAGCAGTAATCACAAAGGTGAATTTTCATATTATGAGGAATATTTCACTTTCTGAACCAGATTTTTCTAAATTTAAAGTCTAATATTTCTAGAATTCACCGCAATCCAATATAGTTCCAGAAGACTACAAAGCAAACAAAACATTTGGCTCATAATTGTACATCGATAAACTTTACTAAAAACACCATACTAACCAGTTATCAATAAAAACAAATAAGCCCAGAGAATATACTTAAACTTCAATCAGAAAGTATTACCATGTCATAATTCAAAAATTCTTCCTTAGGTTAGGAATATAAGGTTTGCTCAAGATTCCAGTAATTAGAACTGAAATCTTTCATTATGAAATGTATAATATGCAAATGCTTAAAAGCAGAAACACGTCAGCCGGGCGCAGTGGCTCAAGCCTGTAATCCCAGCACTTTGGGAGGCCGAGGCGGGTGGATCACGAGGTCAAGAGATCAAGACCATCCTGGTCAACAAGGTGAAATCCCGTCTCTACTAAAAATACAAAAAGCTAGCTGGGCATGGTGGTGCGTGCCTGTAATCCCAGCTACTCAGGAGGCTGAGACAGGAGAATTGCCTGAACCCAGGAGGTGGAGGTTGCGGTGAGCCGAGATCACGCCATTGCATTCCAGCCTGGGTAACAACAGCAAAACTCCGTCTCAAAAAAAAAAAAAAAAAAAAGCAGAAACACTTTTAAAAAGGAATAAAGTAGGCCGGGCACGGTGGCTCAAGCCTGTAATCCCAGCACTTTGGGAGGCCGAGGCAGGCGGATCACGAGGTCAAGAGATCGACACCATCCCGGTCAACATGGTGAAACCCCGTTTCTACTAAAAATACAAAAACTTAGCTGGGCATGGTGGCGTGTGCCTGTAATCCCAGCTACTCAGGAGGCTGAGGCAGGGAATTGCCTGAACCCAGGAGGCGGAGGTTGCGGTGAGCCGAGATCGCGCCATTGCACTCCAGCCTGGGGTAACAAGAGCGAAACTCCGTCTCAAAAAAAAAAAAAAAAAAAAAAGGAATAAAGTAGACCTATTCAAGCATGATTGAGATTCTGTCTTAAATCAGCCAACTAGTAACTGATGCTAAGAACTCCATCAGCTAATTTTTGTATGTTTTTTAATCTTTTGCCTACTGCCAATCTACTTCAAAAATTACATGGAGCTCCTACAAAGTAAAAGAAACTATTCCTGCCAAAGATACAAAGATCGAGTCCCTGCCCCAAAGGCACTTAAAAGCGAGGGAGAAGACAAATACATAAATGACTGAAATTTATTTAACAATAAAAATAAATGTCTTGGGCCAGGCGTAGTGGCTCATGCCTGTAATCCCAACACTTTGGGAGGCCAAGGCTGGAAGATTACCTGAGGTCAAGAGTTCGAGGCCAACCCAGCCAGCATGGAGAAAAGCCATCTCTACTAAAAAAACAAAAATAAGCCAGGTGTGGTGGTGGGCACCTGTAATCCAAGCCACTTGGGAGACTGACAGGAAAACTGCTTGAGCCCGGGAGGCAGAGATTGCAGTGAGCAGAGACTGTGCCACAGCATTCTAGCCTGGGCAACAGAGTGAGACTCTGTCTCCAATCAATCAATCAATCAATCCATGTCCTAGGCCAGGCATGATGACTCACGTCTGTAATCCCAACGTTTTTGGAGGTTGAGGCAGGAGGATCGCTTGAGCCCAAGGGGTCTGAGACCAGCCTGAGCAACATTGTGAAATCTTGTCTCTATAAATTATACATACACACACACACACACACACACACACACACACACACACTCTCACACACGTTAACCAGGTATGGTGGCATGCACCTGTGGTCCCAGCTACTTGAGAGGCTGAGGTGGGAGGATCACTTGAGCCTGAGGAGGTCAAGGCTACAGTGAGCTGTGATCACACCACTGCACTCCAGCCTAGGCAACAGAGACAGATCCTATCTCAAAATTTTAAAAATAATAATAAAAATAAATGTTCTGGCCGGACACAGTGGCACATACCTGTAATCCCAGCACTTTTAGAGGCCAAGGTGGGTGGATCATGAGGTCAAGAGATCAAGACCATGCTGACCAACATGGTGAAACACCATCTCTACTAAAAAATACAAAAATTAGCTGGGTGTGGTGGTGCATGCTTGTAGTCCCAGCTACTTGGGAGGCTGAGGCGGAAGAATCACTTGAACAGGGAACTGGAGGTTGCAGTGAGCCAAGATTGCACCACTGCACTCCAGCCTGGTGTCAGAGCGAGGTTCCGTCTCAAAAAAACAAATAAATAAATAAAAATAAAAGTTCTATGCAAAACACCATGCTAGGGTGTTTCCTAGGAAGGCAAAGTTGTTCTTTTTCTTACCTTTTCTTTCTTTAAGGGAAAGTAGAGAGGGGAGCTTTATCATGAACACACCTCCAAAGTAGCCACCTTTTAGATGACTTTGAAGGTTAAACAGAACATCTGGGGGATGGGGGAGATGGGGTATGGTGAAGATACATATAAAACTACAAATATTTGAGGGGAATGGGCAAGTGAATCAACTCAAAGTAGGAAAAAATCAAGTCTGAACAAAAAAACAATTAAAGAAAGTCAAGGGATTTATGTTGATAAGAACAAGCAGGACGTCTGGCTAAAACAAGGAGTAGTAGGAAAAACGCTGAAAGGTAAACCAAGATACTTTTGTTGTAAGGTATTAAAAAAGAGTCTATACAGAATAGAGAAGTAATATGTATAAATCTATACTTTTCTAGGAATAGCATCTTAGCAGTTATCGTGAAGAAACAATAGGAAGAAAGAAAAGGTGAGGTGATGAGGCATGAAACCAGGATGGGGTACATAAAATAGAAAAGAGACCTGAAAAGATACAGCAGAGGCCTGGCATGGTGGCTCATGCCTGTAATCCCAGCTCTTTGGGAGGCTGAGGCAGGAGTTTGAGACCAGCCTGGCCAATGTGGTAAAACTCTGTCTCTACTAAAAATATGAAAATTAGGGCCAGGCACAGTGTCTCAAGCCTGTAATCCCAGCACTCTGGGAGTCCAAGGTGGGCAGATCACCTGAGGTGAGGAGTTCGAGACCAGCCTGATCAACATGGAGAAACCCTGTCTGTAATAAAGTACAAAATTGCTCAAGTCAATAATCCCAGCACTTTGGGAGGCCAAGGCGGGTGGATCACGAGGTCAAGAGATCAAGACCATCCTGGTCAACATGGTGAAACCCCGTCTCTACTAAAAATGAAAAAAAACTAGCTGGGCATGGTGGCTCATGCCTGTAATCCCAGCTACTCAGGAGGCTGAGGCAGGAGAATTGCCTGAACCCAGGAGGCGGAGGTTGTGGTGAGCCGAGATCACGCCATTGCACTCCAGCCTGGGCAACAACAGCGAAACTCTGTCTCAAAAAAAAAGGAAGAAAATTAGCTGGGCATGGTGGCAAGTGCCGGTCATCTCAGCTGCTTGGGGAACTGAGACAGGAGAATCTCTTGAACCCTGGAGGTGGAGGTTGCAGTGGGGCGGAATTGCACCACTGCACTCCAGCCTGGGCAACATGAGTGAAATTCCATCTCAGAAAAAAAAGATACAGCAGAGGTAGAATGAAGATGATCTGGAGACAACAAGGACATACAGGATAGGAGAGTCTAAGATGGCTTGAGATACCTGCTTCTAACAACGGGGTACATATACTCCACAGGTATGGAATGAAAAATGTTAAGAAATTCCATTCATCTCTAGGAAGTCTTTACAATCAAAAGAAAAAATTATATATATATATATATATATATATATATATATATATATATATTTTTTTTTTTTTTTTTTTTTAGTTAGAAAACCAGCTGGGCACAGCGGCTCGTGCATGTAATCCCTGCATTTTGGGAAGCTGAGGCAGGAGGACTATTGAGCCCAGCAGTTCCAGATCAGCCCAGGAAACAACGAAATCCCATCTCTACAAAAAATGAATAAATTTTCAAAAATAAATAAATAAAATTGAAGTTACAAAATCCATTTTACTTGAGAATATGGGAAAACATCTTTAGTATGACATACGGAGATAAATATGTAACATCAGAATATAAATTTTTAATATAAAATGCAATGCCAAAATTTCATGTCCATACCTATGATTTTGCAGGCTCTGATAATCTGCTGAAACAGAAAAATTTTTATGACAGACAAGTTTAAAAACATGGATCTAAGTTGGTGACTCAAAATGGGAATGTCATTTACAGAAAAAGGAAAGTCTTATCACCATATGAATAACTAGCTACTCTTCGTTTATGGTGGTTTTAGATATCACCAGCCAGAGATGTCATTTGGGGCAGCAGCAGCTCTTAAGTTTCCTTCCCTCCTACCTCTACCAGTTTATACAAATCATTCATACGCTTAACAAATAATTATTGTGCAGATGCTATCCTAGGCAAAGGAAAATCAGCAGTAAGCAAATCAAACAAAAACTTACATCCATATGAAACATGATATTAAATTTGTGAAATACTTATTACCTCAGACTGACACTCCACACTCAAAATAAACACACTTAAACTAAGAAATTGTAACTTCCTTAAGTAGCAACAATGACAGTATAAAAAGTAGCCGGGCATGGTGGCTCACACTTGTAATCCCAGCACTTTGGGAGGTTGAGGTAGGCACATCATTTGAGGTTAGGAGTCCAAGACCAGCCCGACCAACATGGTAAAACCCTGTCTTTATTAAAAATAGAAAAACTTGGCCGGGCGCGGTGGCCCAAGCCTGTAATCCCAGCACTTTGGGAGGCCGAGGCGGGTGGATCACGAGGTCGAGAGATCGAGACCATCCTGGTCAACATGGTGAAACCCCGTCTCTACTAAAAATACAAAAAACTAGCTGGGCATGGTGGCACGTGCCTGTAATCCCAGCTACTCAGGAGGCTGAGGCAGGAGAATTGCCTGAGCCCAGGAGGCGGAGGTTGCGGTGAGCCGAGATCGCGCCATTGCACTCCAGCCTGGGTAACAAGAGCGAAATTCCGTCTCAAAAGAAAAAAAAAAAAATAGAAAAACTTGCGAGGCTCAATGGCTCACGCCTGTTAATCCCAGCACTTTGGGAGGCCAAGGCGGGCAGATCACAAGGTCAGGAGTTCAAAACCAGCCTGACCAACATGGTAAAACCCTGTGCCTACTAAAAATACAAAAATTAGCTGGGCGTGGTAGTGTGCGCCTGTAATCCCAGCTATGAGGATGCTGAGGCAGAAGAATCACTTGAACCCAGGAAGTAGAGGTTGCAGTGAGCCGAGATCACACCACTGCAGTCCAGCCTGGGCAACAAGAGCAAAACTCCATCTCAAAAAAAAAAAAAAACCCACTTGATATAATAACCATTTATAGGCTTAATAGTGACAGTTTTACTTCTCTGAGATATCAGCTTTACCCACAACCTATCAAATGTGTTCAAATGAGGCTCCTTCAGATGTATGTAAAGAATACCTGGCCGGGCGCGGTGGCTCAAGCCTGTAATCCCAGCACTTTGGGAGGCCGAGGCGGGTGGATCACGAGGTCAAGAGATCAAGACCATCCTGGTCAGCAAGGTGAAACCCCGTCTCTACTAAAAATACAAAAAGTTAGCTGGGCATGGTGGTGCGTGCCTGTAATCCCAGCTACTCAGGAGGCTGAGGCAGGAGAATTGCCTGAACCCAGGAGGCGGAGGTTGCGGTGAGCCGAGATCGCGCCATTGCACTCCAGCCTGGGTAACAAGAGCGAAACTCCGCCTCAAAAAAAAAAAAAAAAAAAAAAAAAAAAAAGAATACCTAAAATATGGTAGCTAGCATAGCAAATAAGCTGTCTCAGGCTAAAAAATAAAATAAAATAAAAATAAATTAAAAATCCCAGGCAACAGAGATTTTTCCCCTGGTGGATTTAAAAATCTTAGCAAGCTATCAACAGTTAAAATTTACAAATTAGATGTAAACTTTAAAGTTACTCTTTCCATAGTTGTTCATTTTTTGCTCTGGTATATCTGCCCATTTTCTGAAAATTTATCAGCAACCTGATGCAGTGGGACAATTTGAAGCTGAATTACCAAAACCAAACAAAACATACCATCAGGCCACAAAAGAACAATCAACTTATTCCCAAATAAAACATTTAAAGAACTTGAGTAATAGTTCAACTTTAAATACATAAAGAAAACGACTGACTTCTACCCAAAAAAAATCCATAAATTCAATTCTACACACACACACATACACACACACACACACACACATTCAGTGCAATTAAATCACATGAAAGAGACTTTTACTCTAATAGTAAATCCCATAGCCCAGTAGGTTTGGGAATCAAATTACCTGTTGCATTTTCTTGTATTCACCCACTCTGGCATAGGCCATGAAGAGGTGAGAGTGATACTCCTCACTATTGGGAACTTTCTTCACAGCTGCCTCATAAAGTTTTGTAACTAACTCCGCTAAGATAAAGAGAAATAAGATTTACGTTATACTTCAAGAAAATTCTAATGGCATTCTTCCTATTTGGCAGATATAGATGTCTCCTATCATTATGGAAGAAGTATCTGCTTTGCCTCATCCAATCATCACTCATCCCTTGGTTAGGTGGTGTTTGGATGAAGCATGGAATAGGTCAAGCCTCTTCATAACATTTACAACATATAAGACCCTCTAGGATCTGGCCTCTGCCTCCTCTTTCCCTCAGCACTTTATCATGTAGCCACAAACTATCTGTAGTTCCACCAAATTCTCTGGGTTGTGTCATACATACCTCTATGCCTCTACATTCATCCCTCTGCCTGAATTCTCCTTTCCTCTCTTTTATACTCAGTGAACATCAGCCAAGACTCAATTCAAATGTAAGCTGAACTATAAGACTTTCCCTAAATACCATCTCTGCTCCTCCACTGCAATTTGATCACTGCCTCCCTCTCCCATCTTGGAATCTTATATAAGTATATTGTAGCCTTTTTTTCTTTTTGGGGGGACAGGGTCTCACTCTGCTGCCGAGGCTGGAGTGCAATGGCACAATCACAGCTCACTGTAGCCTCGACCTTCCAAGCTGAGGTGATTCTCTGACTTCAGCCTCCCAAGTACCTGGGACTATAGGCACGTGCCACCGCGACTGCCTTATTTGTTGTAGAGACAGGGTTTTACCACGTTGCCCAGGCTAAACTGCAGCATTTATTAATACACAGCGTAGTACACTGTCTATTGATCTATTTCTCCTTATAGACTATGAGTGACATGACAGCAGAAAGTGACATTTTTTTTTTGAGACGGTGTTTCACTCTGTTGCCCAGGCTGGAGTGTAATGGCACAATCTCAGCTCACGACAACCTCCACCTCCCAGGTTCAAGCAATTCTCCTGCCTCAGCCTCTCAAGTAGTTGAGATTACCATGTCCAGGTAATTTTGTATTTTTAGTAGAAATGGGGGGTTTCTCCATGTTGGTCAGGCTGATCTTGAACTCCTGACCTCAGGTAATCCACCCACCTCAGCCTCCCAAAATGGTGGGACTACAAGCATGAGCCACTACACCCAGTCCAAAGTGCATCTTTTATCTTTCACTATGACAGAATACCAGTCATAGAGAAACATTCCAACAATATTTGTGGAGTAAATGATTTTTTTTAAACACCTGAGAAAAATCCATATCCCCAAATCAATATAATCCTTAAATATTCAGATATAATACCTCAACTCCTAAGTTTTATCTTTCTTAACAATTAAAAACAAAATTGAGGCTGAGTACAGTGGCTCATGCCTATAATCCTAGCACTTTCGGAGGCTGAGACAGGTGGACTGACTGAGCCCAGGAATTCAAAACTAGCCTGGGCAATACAGCAAAACCACGTCTCAAAAAACAAAAACAAAAAAAAAAAAGATTGATGAAAATATTTAAGGTTACAAATACCAAGTGTTACAATCTGAGGTATCTGAATGAATGAAGAGAGAAAGAATACCACCAAGTGTTGACAAGCATGTGAAGCAATCAGAACTAAAAAACTGCTGTTCTATTTATTAAAGAAGTTGATATTACCTTTCTATAAGCTAAACATACACTTACCCCATGACTTCACAATTCCAGTCCTAAATATTGTAATGTAGTTACCCAGTGAAACATTTTGTGGTAATAAAAATGAATTAACTACAGTCATTTGGCTATTATATCAAAAATGCAAGTCACAGAATATATACAGTACAGATACACTAACATATAGTACAGATACACTAACATAAGTTTAAAATTGAGCAAAACTAATAGTGTATTACTAAGAGGAACAAATGTAATAAACATTAAAAGAAAAGCAAGAGAATAAAAAATATTCAGAATAGCAAGTAACTCTTGGTAGGTAAAAGGAGAATTAAGATTGATTGAGGAAGCCAGGTGCAGGGACTCACGCCTGTAATCCCAGCATTTTAGGAGACCAAGGCAGGTGGATCACATGAGGTCAGCAGTTTGAGACCAGCCCGGCCAACATGGTGAAACCCCATCTCTACTAAAAATACAAAAATCGGCCAGGCACAGTAGGTCACTCACGCCTCTTATCCCAGTACTTTGGGAGGCCAAGGGGGGCGGATCAAGAGATCAAGACCATCCTGGCCAAGATGGTGAAAACACATCTCTACTAAAAATACAAAAATCGGCTGGGCATGGTGGTGCACACCTGTACTTCCAGCTACTTAGGAGGCTGAGGCAGAACAATCGCCTGCACCCGGGAGGCAGACGTTGCAATGAATGAAGATTGTACCACTGCTCTCCAGCCTGGCAACAGACTGAGACTCCATCTCAAAAAAAATAAAAACCAAATACAAAAATTAGCTGGGCATGGTGGTACATGCCTATAATCCCAGGTACTTGGGAAACTAAGGGAGGAGAACTGCATAAACCCAGGAGGTAGAGGTTTCAATTCTCCTGCCTCAGCTTTCCAAGTAGCTGAGATTACAGGTGCACACCACCATGCCCAGCTAATTTTTGTATTTTTAGTAAAGACGGGGTTTCACCATGTTAGCCCGGCTGGTCTCAAACTCCTGACCTCAAATGATCCGCCTGTCTCGGCCATCCAAGTGCTGGGATTTACAAGCATGAGCCACCACACCGACCAATGCTCCATTTCTTTCTTTCTTTTTCCTTTTTTTTCCTCTCTTTTTCTTACACATTGCTACAAAGAAGTGTCCAAAATGCTCCATTTCTTAAATTAGGTGGTGGGGGGCTGGGTACTGGGGCTCGTAATCCCAGTATTCTGGGAGGCCGAGGCAGGTAGATAACAAAGTCAGGAGATCCAGACCATGCTGGCTAACATGATGAAAACCCCGTCTTTACTAAACAAACACGGGTGCGGTGGCTCAAGCCTGTAATCCCAGCACTTTGGGAGGCCAAGGTGGGTGGATCACGAGGTCAAGAGATCGAAACCATCCTGGTTAACATGGTGAAACCCTGTCTCTACCAAAAAATACAAAAAATTAGCTGGGCATGGTGGCGCGTGCCTGTAATCCCAGCCGCTCAGGAGGCTGAGGCAGGAGAATTGCCTGAACCCAGGAGGTGGAGGTTGTGGTGAGCCAAGATCGTGCCATTGCACTCCAGCCTGGGTAACAAGAGCAAAACTCCGTCTAAAAAATAAATAAATAAATAAATAAATAAACACAAACAAAAGACAAAAAAAATGAGCTGGGTGTGGTGGCACGTGCCTGTAGTCCCAGCTGCTCAGGAGGCTGAGGCAGGAACCACTTGAACCCAGGAGGCAGAGGTTGTAGTAAGCTGAGATGAGCCACTGCACTCCAGCCTGAGTGACAGAGCAAGACTCCATCACAAAAAAAACAAAAAAAATTAGGCCGGGCCCGGTGTTTCACGTCTGTAAACACAGCATTTTGGGAGGCTGAGGCAGGCAGATCACAAGGTAAAGAAATCAAGACCATCCTGGCTAACATGGTGAAACCCAGTCTCTACTAAAAATACAAAAAATTAGCCGGATGTGGTGGTGCATGCCCATAGTCCCAGCTACTCGGGAGGCTGAGGCAGGAGAATTACTTGAACCTGGAAGGCAGAGGCTGCAGTAAGCCAAGATCGCACCACTACAATTCAGCCTGGGCAACAGAGTGAGACTCCGTCTCAAAAAAAACAAAAATTAGGTGGTAGGTTCATGAGTTTTCATTCTTTTTTTTTTTTTTTTTGAGACGGAGTTTCGCTCTTGTTACCCAGGCTGGAGTGCAATGGCGCGATCTCGGCTCACCGCAACCTCCACCTCCTGGGTTCGGGCAATTCTCCTGCCTCAGCCTCCTGAGTAGCTGGGATTACAGACACGCGCCACCATGCCCAGCTAATTTTTTGTATTTTTAGTAGAGATGGGGTTTCACCATGTTGACCAGGATTGTCTCGATCTCTTGACCTCATGATCCACCTGCCTCGGCCTCCCAAAGTGCTGGGATTACAGGCTTGAGCCACCGTGCCCGGCCTGGGTTTTCATTCTTACACATCAAATTTACTGATATGTTACATAGATTCTTTTTTAATATGTACTATGAAAAATATGTATTATTTCACGATAAAATATTTAAGAAATCAACAATAAAAATTTTTGTTTCAGAAGAAATGGTCGACTACTTAGGACATGCTCTGAAATAATCTGGCAGGGGAAGGATGTAAAAAAAATAAAAATGGGCCATGTGTTAATTGCTGAAGGTGGATAATGAGAACAATGGATTTTATTATTCTATTATATTTTTATCTGCTTGACATTTTCCATATTAAAAAGTGAAAATAAGGGTGAGATCTCCATTCAGCAAATCAAAATATCACAAAGTCACTTTAATCCTCATTCCAATTCAAGGATCCTAATGCTTGTAAACTATCCTTTCTATCTACAGTTCTCGAAAACCCTTGCTAATGCGTTATTCTACCTACTGTCATCCGTTCAAATCATGGGTGACAAATCGATAACTCAATCAGAAATATCCAAAAACAACGAAAAGAAAGAAACATACGTCGGTGCATCTCCCGGTAAAGGATAGTCAGTGCCTGCAGTGAGTTGTCATCTGTGGGTTCAAGGGCTGCCACCTCCTGTGCCAGAGTAAAGGCTTCCTCTTGCTTTCCAGTTCTCTGTAAACCAATTGCCTTTAAAACCTGATAGTAACAAAAGAAAAAAATCAGTTTTTAAAAGGACAGAAGAGGAAATATGAACCAAAGAAAGCCGATCTGAAAGCACAAGTGTTAAGGTATGCCTAGGTTGCTGATATACTAAACCGAGTTTCAGGCCAGGTGCGGTGGCTCACATCTGTAATCGCAGCACTTTGGGAGTCTAAGATGGGCACATCACTTGAGCCCAGGAGTTCGATACCAGTCTGGGCAACAAGATGAGACTCTATCTCTACAAAAAATAAAAAATCAGCTGGGTACACTGGCATGCACCCAGCTACTTGACAGGTTGAGATGGGAGGACCGCTTGAGCCCAGGAGGTTGATCACATCACTGCATTCCACCATGGGCGACAGAATGAGATCCTGTCTCGGAAAAAAAAAAAAAAAAGAGTAAACAATAGGCCTGGGATGATGCACTCATGCCTATAATTCCAACACTATGGGAGACTTAAGTTGGCAGGACCACTTGAGCCCAGGACTTTGAGACCAGCCTAGGCAACAGAGTGAGACCTTTTATCTGTAGAAAAAATTTAAAGAAAAACAACAGGCCAGATGTGGTGGCTCAAGAATATAACCCCAGCACTTTGGAAGGCCGAGGCGAGAGGACTGCTTGAGCCCATGAGTTCAAGACTAGCCTCGGCAACATAGTGAGACCAAATTTTTACAAAAAGTTTAAATATTAGTCAGGTGTGGTGATGCATATCTGTGGTCTCAGCTACTCAAGAGGCCAAGGTAGGAGGATCACTTCAGCCCGGGAGGTCAAAACTGCAGTGAGCTGTGATCATGCCACTGCAGTCCAGCCTAGGCAACTGAGTGAGAGAATATCTAACTCAAAAAAAAAAAAAAAAGCCAGGCATGGTGGTATACCTTGTATTCCCAGCTACAGGGGAGGCTGAGATGAGAGGGCCATTTAAGCCCAGAAGGCCAAGGCTGCAGTGAGCCATAGGTATGCTACTGCACTGCAGCCTGGATGATAGAGACCTTGTCTCAAAAAAAAAAAAGTGCACAATATTGCTTAAAAGGATTCTGTGAAGATAAAATAGTTAAATTAGGTAAGTAATATGCAAATAAATAAACAGCAAGCTTTTATTGAAATATCACAGCCGTACACAGTGGCTCACGCCTGTGATCCCAGCACTTTGGGAGGCCAAGGCAGGCGGATCACAAGGTCAGGAAATAGAGACCATCCTAACACAGTCAAATATCGTCTCTACTAAAATTACAAAAAATTAGCCAGGCATGGTGGCATGTGCCTGTAGTCCCAGCTACTCAGGAGGCTGAGGCAGGAGAATGCTTGAACCCAGGAGGCAGAGATTACAGTGAGTTGAGATCCCGCCACTGCATTAGAGCAAAACTCCAACTCAAAAAAAAAAAAAAAAGGAAGTATCACTTGAGGCATGTAAGTGACCATCGAAAAAACTGACCTAAAAAGTACCGAGAAAAAACACAAATAGCCAGGTGCAGCGGCTCGAGCCTGTTAATCCCAGCACTCTGGGAGGCCGAGGCAAGAGGATCACCTGAGGTCAGGAGTTCGAGACCAGCCTGACTAACACAGAGAAACCCCATCTCAAGCCAGTTGCGGTGGCTCACACCTGTAATCCCAGCACTTTCGGAGGCTGAGGCAGGCGGATCACCTGAGGTCAAGAGTTCAATACCAGCCTGGCCAACATGGCGAAACCCCGTCTTTAAAGAAAAAAAAAGAGAAGCCCCATCTCTACTAAAAAATATACAAAATTAGCTGGGCGTGGTGGTACTTGTGAGGTAGAGACAGGAGAATTGCTTGAACCCGGGAGGCAGAAGATAACGGTGAGCAAAGATCGTGCCGTTGCACTCCAGCCTGAGCAATAAAAGCAAAACTCCATCTCAAAAAAAGAAAAAACACAAATAATAAAGAGATTTAACATTCTTTCTCTTTAAGGTATGGAATTACAAATATAAGCCGCCAAATATAAGTAGCTGAAGGGCAAATGAAGTTACCTTAGCACAATGCAGATCCTTATGTTTCTTCAACAGTTTATCTGCTTGCTGAATTGCCATTTTATTATTACCATTGTCAAGATAATCTATATAAAAACAAATTATGTGACAGTTATTATATTCCTTCAACAACAAACATAAAAAATGCACCAACTGGTATGAGATGTTTTGGAAAGTGTCTTAATTTGCTATATAAAACATCATGGAGGCTGGGCATGGTGGCTTATGCCTGGAATCCCAGCACTTTGGGAGGCTAAGGCAGGTGGATCACTTGAGGCCAGGAGTTCAAGACCAGCCTGGTCAACATGGATAAACCCTGTCTCTATTAAAACTACAAAAATTAGGCTGGGCACGGTGGCTCATGTCTGTAATCCCAGCACTTTGGGAGGCTGAACAGGTGGATCACGAAGTCAAGAGATTGAGACCATCCTGGTCAACATGGTGAAACCCCATCTCTACTAAAAATACAAAAATTAGCTGGGCATGGTGGTGCCCACCTGTAGTCCTAGCTACTTGGGAGGCTGAGGCAAGAGAATTGCTTAAACCCAGGAGGTGGAGGTTGTGGTGAGCCAAGATCACACCATTGCACTCCAGCCTGGGGAACAAGAGCAAAACTCCATCTCAAAAAAAAAGGGGAAAAAAAAACAACTAAAAGAATTAGCCAGGAAGTGGTGATGCACACCTATATCCCAGCTACTCAGGAGGCTGGCTGAGGCACAAGAATTGGTTGAACCTAGGAGGCAGAGGTTGCAGTGAGCTGAGGTCATGCCACTGTACTCCAGCCTGGGCAACACAGTGAGACTCTGTGTACAAAAAGAGTAATAAAATAAAATAAATAATAATAATAAAAAAACAAAAAAATGAAAACATCATGGGCACAGTGCAGTGGCTGTACTCTGGGAGGCCAAGGTGGGTGAATCACTTGAACCTAGGAATTCAAAATCAGCTCTGGCAACTTAGTGAGACACTGTCTCTAGAAGAAATATAAAAATTAGCCAGACATGTTACCATGTGCCTGTAATCCCAGCTACTCAGGAGGCTGAAGTAGGAGGATCGTTTGAGCCTGCAAGGTTGAGGCTCCAGTGAGCTATGGTCGTGCCACTGAACTCCAGTCTGGGCAACAGAGTGAGACCCTGATTGAAAAAAGTCTTTTTTTTTTTTTTTTTTTTTTTTTTGAGACGGAGTCTTGCTCTGTCACCAGGCTGGAGTGCAGTGGCACAATCTTGGCTCACAGCAACCTCCGCCTCCTGGGTTCAAGTGATTCTTCCGCCTCAGTCTCCCGAGTTGCTGGGACCACAGGCACATGCTACCACACTCGGCTAATTTTTTTGTATTTTTAGTAGAGACAGGGTTTCACCGTGTTGGCCAGGATGGTCTCGATCTCTTGACCTCGTGATCCGCCTGCCTCGGCCTCCCAAAGTGCTGGAATTACAGATGTGAGCCACTGCGCCCAGCCAGAAAATAGTATTTTAAAACATTCTTGTTAAAATAGTAATTAGCACTTACTTTGAAGAACAATTGACTTTTAGGTTTCTCAAAGCTATGTATCCATTTCCCAAAAAAATTTATTGTATGTGTTTAAGGCATACAACATGTTTTTTTGTTGTTGTTTTGAAATGAGGTCTCACTCTGTCATCCAGGCTGGAGTACAGTGGCCCAATCATGGCCCAATGCAGCCTTGAACTCCTGGCCTCAAGTGAGCCTCCCATCCCAGCCTCCCAAAGTGCTGGGATTACAGGCATGTGTCACCCACAACCAGGAATATGATGTTTTAATAAACCTGTACATAGTGAAATAATCACTACAGTGAAGCAAATTACTATATCCGTCACATCACACATTTACTCTGTGTGATAAGAGCTCTTAAAATAATCTCTTAGCAAATTTTCAGTATACAGTACAGTATTTTTACTATAGTCCTGCTACACATTAGCTCTTTAGACTTACTCATCCTACATACCTATGAGTTTGTATACTTTGACCTGTATCTCCCCATTTTCTCCCCTCCTCCTCGCCCCTGGTAACCTCTGTCCTACTCTCTTACTATGTCTTCAACTCTTTTTAGATTCTACCAGCAAGATAACGTAGTATTTTTCTGTGTCTGGCTTACTTCACTTAGCATAATGATCTTCTGGTTCATCCGTGTTGTCAAAAATGGTAGTATCTCCTTTCTTTTTTTTTTTTTTTTTTTTTTTTTTTTTTTTTTGAGACGGAGTTTCGCTCTTGTTACCCAGGCTGGAGTGCAATGGTGCGATCTCGGCTCACCGCAACCTCCGCCTCCTGGATTCAGGCAATTCTCCTGCCTCAGCCTCCTGAGTAGCTGGGATTACAGGCACGAGCCACCATGCCCAGCTAATTTTTTGTATTTTTAGTAGAGACGGGGTTTCACCATGTTGACCAGGATGGTCTCGATCTCTCGACCTCGTGATCCACCTGCCTCGGCCTCCCAAGATGCCGGGATTACAGGCTTGAGCCACCGCGCCCAGCCCAGTATCTCCTTTCTTAAGGCTCAGTAATATCCCATTCTATATATATCCCGCCATTTCTTTATCCATTCATCATCAATGAATACTCAGGTTATTTCATGTCTTGGCTACTGTGAATAATACTGCAATAAACATGGGAGTGCAGATACATCTCTAAGTTGCTGATGTCATTCATTTTCGGTATATAACCAGCAGAGAGATTGCTGCATCATGTGGTAGTTCTATTTTTAACTTGTTAAGGACCCTCCACACTGTTTTCTATAATAGCTGTACCAATTTACATTAACAACAACAGTATACAAGGGTCCTTTTTCTCCACACCCTTGCCACACTTATTTCTTGTCCTTTTTGTAACAGCCATCCTAACAGGTGTGAGGTGATATCTCATTGCACTTTTTATTTGCATTTATCTGATGTTTATAACGTTAAACACCTTTTCATATACTCGTTGGCAATTATTATGCCTTTTCTTTCTTTCAGAACAATGTCTATTCTGGCCCATTGCCTATTTTTTAATTGGGTTATTTGGATTTTATTTGGTTTGGGAGGGATTTGGAATGGGGTTTAACTATTGAAATGCACGATTCATTTCAATTTTTTTTTTTTTGAAACAGTCTCACTCTGCTGCCCAGGCTGGAGTACAGTGGCACTATCTCAGCTCACTGCAACCTCTACCTCCTAGGTTCAAGCGATTTTCCTGCCTCAGCCTCCTGAAAAGCTGGGATTGCAGGTGTGCGCACCATGCCCAACTAATTTTTGTATTTTTAGTGGAGACGGGGTTTCACCATGTTGGCCAGGATAGTCTTGAACTCCTGACCTCAAGTGATACGCACGCCTCAGCCTCCGAAAGTGCTGGGATTACAGGCATGAGCCACCATGCCCGGCTGATATATTTCAAATGTTAAGGAACATGGAGACTCACCATGAAATCGTGTTAGGCCAGGTGCAGTGGCTCACACAATTCCAGCACTTAAGAAGGCTGAGGCGGGAGGATCACTTGAGGCCAGAAATAAAAGACCAGCCCAGGCAACACAGCAAGACCCCATCTCTACAAAAAAATTTTAAAATTTGCCAGGTATGGTGGCACATGCCTATAGTCCCAGCTACTTGGGAGGTTTGCCTGAGCCCAGGAGGTTGAGGCTGCAGTGAGCTATTATTACACTACTGCACTCCATGCTGGGTGGCAGAGCAAAATCCCCGTCTCAAAATAAAAAGAAAGAAAGAAATGAGCTATCAAGTACAAAAAAAACAGAGAGAAAGAAGAAAGAAAAAAAAAAGACACGGAGAAACCTTAAATTCAAATATTGCTAAGGTGGAAAAAAAGCCAATCTGAAAAGGCTATATACTATGTAATTCCTATATGGCATTCTGGAAAGGGTGAAACTTAAGAGAGGTAGTAAAACAACCAGTGACTGACAGAGGATGGGGGTTAGGATAGATAGGTTGAACATATGGGATTTTTAGGGCACTAAAACTATTCTGTATAATACTATAATGGTGGATATATACATTTATCAAACTCATAGAATATACAACACAAAGAATGAGGCCTAAACTATTACATGGATTTTATTTACATGTGTCATGTTGGCTTAGCAATGGTAACAAACATGTATGAATCCAACTTGTTAATAATAAGGGAAACCACGGAGATGGGAAGAGGGAGTATTTAGAAACTGTATTTTCTACTCATTTTTCTGTAAACCTAAAACTGCTCTAAAAACAGTCTATTATTTTTTTACAAAAGCAGATTCATTTCCAGAGAAGAAAAATGAGAAGCATTATAAATGGGAAACAGTACAGTAGCTGTCAATTCTCAAAGATGACTGAATGCAGGCCAGTTCACAATCCTCTACTACCACCAGGTTCCTCTTTGCTCATCAAGGTCCCAAATCAGCAAAGGCACAGACAACATAAAAGAACCTATGACCCTGGTAGCTCAGAGTGTCCCAAATAACAGAAATAAACTTTCATTTTACTATACGGTTTAAATATTTCTGCAATGAATACTTAACTAAAACTTAGTCACAAGAAAGCATGAGTTCCATCTCTTTAATGCACTTAACATTGATGAGCACCAATAATGCTAGATAAAAAGATAAAAAGCCTTACTCTAGGGAATCACAATTTAGAGAGGAAGGTCAAAGACCTAATATTCTGGAGAGGCATTGGAGAATCACAGAAATCTAAAAGCACATGATCTTGGCCTAAATACCTAAATATCTAATACAAGTTTTCTGAAATTCTTAGCTCAGCTGACAGTCCTTACGAACTACCTGACAAAGACAAACCAGCTCATTAAACAATATCTTTTCTTCCTCATAACCTGATGCCAATCTCATTCAGAATCAACTCTAAGTTACTACTAACTCAATGATCTTGCAAGGTTCCAAGTTCATAGAACCTATCTTGAAGCTTTCTCAAAGGGTATAACCATCTTTGATGAGATCCACCTCCAAAGGTCTGCCCACAAATGGATCAGACCAGAGGTCAAAACTGTAAGCGTAGCCAGGCGCGTTGGCTCAAGCCTGTAATCCCAGCACTTTGGGAGGCCGAGGTGGGTGGATCACGAGGTCAAGAGATCGAGACCATCCTGGTCA